AATTATGGGGATTCCAGAAGAAGATAGCACAATACTGAAAACCAAAAAATTGTGACAGAAAGTTTCCCCACCTGATATATGCATTTGTATGCATCTTTATCTATGCGCGACTTTTAATTGCATCCCACAAGTTTAGATATGTAACAATTTTTTTATTATGTTTTTTTTCTGCCTTGATTGATCTGATTGTGATTTTTCTTCTTAGGCTATTGACCTGGTGGATTATATTGATTTTAAAAAATAATGAACTAACCTTGCTTCCCTGAATAAATTGCAATAAATCCCTGGCAAAAATTATTGTTTACATGTTGATGATTTATGTTTGCTAATGTTTAAATATATTTTATTGATTTTTTTTTTTTTTTTTTTTCTTTTTTTTTTTACAGAAAAGAAGGGAGAGGGATAGAGTTAGAAACATTGATGAGAAATAAAGATTGATCAGCTGCCTCCTGCACACCTCCTACTGGGGATGTGCTGACAACCAAGATACCATATGTGTACTTGACTGGAATTGAACGTGGGACCTTTCAGTCCTCAGGCCGATGCTCTATCCACTGAGCCAAACCGGTCAGGGCTGCTAATATATATTTTTAAGGATTTTTACATCTATAGTTCCTCTCTTATTTCTGGAAGGATTGTATAGAGTTAGTGTTAATTTTCTTTAAATATCATTGAAGCCATTTGAGCCTGGTACTTTTATTTTGGGAGTTTTAAAATTGTGAATTACATTTCATTAAAAGTCATAGGGCCTTTATTTATTTAATAGAGTCCTGGTACCCCGTTGGGATACTTCAGCCTGGCCTGCACCCTCTTGCAATATGGGACCCCTTGGAGAATGTTGGAGAGCTGGTTTTGGCCTGATCCCCACAGACCAGGCCGAGGGATCCCACCGGTGCACAAATCCATGTACTGGGCCTCTGGTGTGCATATGAGATCTTTGGTTAATCTCTTCCCACCCTCCCTCTTCCCCCCTTCCCTCTGAGATTCATCAGTCTGTTTCATGTTGCCTCACCTGTAGTTTCCGCTTCTGTATTGAGCATCTGCCCCCTGGTGGTCTGTGTGTGTCATAGCTACTTGCAGGTCAGCCGGTTCCTTAGACTTTTATATATATATAAACTAGTACCCCTGTGCATGAATCTGTTTGTCAGTAGCTCTCTGTGGGCCCTGGCCACTCCATGCCCACTGCCTAGAGGCTCTCATTGGCCCAGAGGCCCATCCTCTGCCAGGCCTCATTGCTGGGTCAACAACACAAGTGTTTCGTGCCCCAGCCTGGCTAGAGGCCCATCTTCAGCCAGATGCAGAACGTTCTTGCTGTCTGCTCTCAGTGGCTTTCCTTCTCCCTCCGCCCCCCCTTCTCTGGGACTGGGGGACTCCAGCAGGGCCGAGAGGACTGGGCACTGCCATCTTGTGGCTATGGGCGCCACCATATTTGTGACAGTGATGGTTAATTTGCATATTACCCTTTTATTAGATGGGATTAGTTTTAATAATTTAGTGTCTGTAAAGGATTCCTTAGGTGTTTGTAGGGTCTGTAGTAATATCTGTTTTATTCCTGATATTCGTAATTTGTGTGTTACTTTTTTTTCTCAGTTTTGCCTAGAGATTTGTCAATTTTACTGATATTTTCAAAGAACCATCAATTTATTTCATTGATTTTTTTTCTTTACTTTGGTTTTCAACTTCATTTATTTCTGGTCTTATCTTTATTCCCTACTGGCTTTGGTTTATTTTGCTCTTCTTTTCAAGAGCTCTTAAAGAAGACAGCTCTTCTTTATTGATTTGAGACTTCCTCTTTTCTAATGTATGCATTTAGTGCTGTAAATTTCTGTCATTGCTGTTTTAGCTGTGTCTACAAATTTTGATATGATCTGTTTTTTATTTCCTTTTATTTCAATGCATTTTTAAATTTTTCTTGCGACTTCCTATTTGACTTATGGATTATTTAGTATATTGCTTAGGTTCCAGGTGTTTAGAGATTTTCTTGTTATCTTCTGTTGTTAATTTCTAATTTGATTTTGTTGTGATCAGAGAACATACTTTATATAATTTCAGTTCTCTTAAATTTTTTGAGTTTTTTTTATAGTCTAACTGTTAGACTAACATATGGTCTATATATTGTATGTTCTGTGGGCACTTGAAAAGAATGTATATTCTCCTGTTATTGGGTGGCTTGTTCTCCAAATGTTGATTAAATCATTATAATGGTATTGTTGACTTTTACATCCTTGCAGATCTTCTGTCTAGTTCTATAAATTGTTTAGAGAGGGTTATTGGAGTCTCTTAACTATAATTGTGAACTTGTCTATTTCTTTCAATTCTGTCAGTTTTTGCTTCACTTTATTTCTTTGTTGTACATTGAGGGTTGCTATGTCTTTTTGGTGGACAGATTTTTTTTAATGTACATTTTTTATGTAATGTACTCCTGTGGTAATTTTGCTTTAAATTCTACTTTACCTGGTATTAATATGTAAAAAATGTAATCTTAATTTAAATAGGCAAATGTTGGTGGCTGCCATAATAACAGTTCTGGAAGATGGAGAGAGTTATGACACAATACATTTAATTAAAAGCTAAATTTTGTTGTAAGAAAGTGTTAAGGGAAGAGGGAATATGAGGTATTATTTTATTTTCATTATTATTTTTTTAATCTTCACTTTAGAGCATGTTAAGAGAGAGCGAGAGAAGGGGGGAAGAGTTAGAGATTGAGAGAGAGAAGAAAAACATTAATGTGAGAGAAGCATTGATTAGTTACTTTCCTTACGTGCCCCAAATGGGGTTTGAAGCTGCAACCCAAGTATGTTCCCTGACCGGGAATCGAACTGGCAACCGTTTGGTGCATAGGACAACACTCAAGGAACTGAGCCACACTAGCTGGGCTATGATTTTATTTTATTTTATTTTATTTTATTTTATTTACTTAATTATTATTTTTAAAAAGATGCTTTTTTAAATTTATATTACTGAGAGGAAGGGAGAGGGAGAAAGGAATAGAAGCAGCAATGATGAGAAAGAATCATTGATGGCCTGTCTTCTGCATGCTCCCTACTGGGGATTGAGCTTGCAAAAACCCGGGCATGTGCCCTGACTGGGAATTGAACCATGACCACTTGGTTCATAGGTAGGTTGATACTCAACCAGTGAGTTAAACTGGCCAGGCTGGACTATGATTTTAAATTGCATAATCAAGAAGAAATAGTTGAATGTGACACTTCACCAAAGATTTGAAGGAGTGAGAAAGCAATGCAAATACCTTGGGGCAGAGAATATGAAAGGCCAGCAGGGAGGTAGGCCATGGTAAAAATGTTAGTTTTTACTCTGAGTGACATGAGGAACCAATTGAAGATTTAGAGCAGACCCTGATTAATTCTGATTTATGATGTATGAAGATCACTCTGGATGGTAAGTTGAAAATAAACTATAGGGATCAAGGGGTTGGAAGCAGGGAGACCATTTAAGAGTACAGGTGATGGTAGCCAACTAAATGGTTAGAGCAGATTTTCGGGATAACATTAGACATTTAGTTTTAGATTTGTTAAGTTTGAAATGTTTATTAGCCAGGCAGAGAAAGCAAGTAGTCTGCCTGGAGTTCTCCAGATATATGAGTCCCTGTCCTTACAGAGCTTACATTTTACTGGAATATGGGTAGTAAATACAATAAATAAGTAAAACAAAATAATATACTATGCTAGAAGATAATTAAGTCTTATAGGGAAGGATTAAGTAGTGTTAGGGGACTGGCTTCCTGAGAAGGTAACATTTAAGTAATGATAGGAAGGCAGTGAGGAACTACTACCTGTGAGAATAGTAATTCAGATAGAGGAATCAAGATGTAAAGAGGCTCCCAGGTGGACACATAGCTAGTGTGTTTGAAGAAGAGCAATGAGGGGAAGTGTGGCTGGAGTGACATGAGTGATGAAAAAGGATTAGGGACGACATCGTTGAAGTAATAAGTGCCTGGGATATAGGCCATTTTAAGGCTTCAGCAGAAGAGAGACATGATCCTACCCTACAGTTTAATCAATTCACTCTTGATTGCTGTGCTAAGTAGATTGAAGGGGCAAGGGTGGAAGCAGGAAGATCAATGAGACAGTAGTCTAGGCAAGAGGCTGTGGTAGCAGTGGAGATGGTGAGAAATGTTCATATTTCTGGATACATTTTGGGTTGTACTGACAAATTTGGCTTACTGATAGGATGTGGGCTGAGCGGAGTCAAGAGCTATTCCAGTAGTATTTTTGACCTGAGCAGTTGGAAGAATAGAATTGCATTGAGATGGGAAAGTCTGGGAAGAGCAGGTTGGAGGATTTGATCAGTAGCTCAGTTTTGGATATGTTAAGTTCGTGATCCTAGCAGACCTCCAAATATGGGTGTTCAGTATTGTTTTATGATTTTTCTTAATAGAAATAATGATATTAAAACAGTGTATTCATTGTTCAGAAAATGTTACATTTGTAAGATCCTAATTTTTAACATGTTTATTCCTGAGAAAACTTGAATATTTTGGAGAGGAAGAAATTGATTGGCTGCTTTTTGGCTTTGCTCCCAGAGATGATAGTACTTTCTTAGAGTTAAATAAGATATTGTTCCAATATTAGAAATGGAAATATAACTATATAGTCTGAGTGTTTCTGCTTGCTTTTTATTTTAGGTCCTATTACTGCTGGATTGTGCAAGATATTTAACCCTGTTTTCTTTGAGATATGACTTAACTATTAAACATCTTACATAATAAAGGGAAATATTTTAGTTTTGGAAGTCAGAATGCCAAGGAGAAGGAAAAATCTTGGGGGAAATCCTTTTCGGAAGACTGCAAACTTTAAGGAAGTTGTCGTATCCAGTGTTGCTAGTCATGAGGAGCCAACTACTCTTCCTTCCATGTGTGAAACAAAAGTTGATCAGGAAGAACTCTTCACCAAAATCTCAGAGATGTTTTCTGATCTGGATCCTGATGTAGTGTATTTGATGCTTTCTGAATGTGATTTCAAAGGTGAGAAAAAGTTTAGTTTGAATCCTTTGTAACTTATAAGAAGACTTCATGTACTATGCAATGACTGTAGTAATAAATAGAAAAATGACTGCCTTATTTCTGTTTTATCACGTATTGAGCATCTACTGGGGGAAAGGTTCTAAGTTTGGTATACTGAAGGATGTGAAGAATAAAGCATAGTTTCTGCTTTTAAGAAATGTACAGTTCTTAATGTAAGATGTATGTATAGATATCATAGTCTATGTTTATTTACTTTTTTTTTTTTTACCTCCCTGCTAGACCAGGTTGGCACTATTGACATTATGGACTGGATAATTCTTTCCTGTTAGTGGCTTTCTTTGCATTGTCGGATATTCAGCAGCATCCCTGGCCTGTATCCCCTCGGTGCCAGTAACACATTCTCCCCCATTCCAATTTGTGACAATTAAAAATGCCTCCATACATTGTCATTGTTCCTAAGTGTCAGAATCATCCCAATTGAGAATCACTGTCCTAGAATGTAAGCTCCATAAAGACAGATTTTAAAAACTGTTTTGTTTACTGCTGTATCCCCAACCCTTAAAATAGCAAATGACTCATGGTAGCACCTCAGTAAATATTTATTGAGGGAAAAGGTAACTATAATTGTGAAAATGAGAGCTGATAAGGGTTGAGCTAGTTTCAAAACATTGGCTTTGGAGTCGAGAAACCTGGGTTGTATTTCCAGCTCTGCCACTAAAACCTCTGCGGGTCTCAGTTTTCTTATCTGTTAATGAGAAAAATAATAGTATGCCCCCCAAAATTAGTTATTTGGTCAGGATCAAGGGATGTGTGTGTGTGTTGATAAAATCTTCAGTATAGTAAGTTATTAATGACTTACAATAAATTATTTAGAAGTATGTTTACTTCAGAGGGGAAAGTCTCAAAGTTGAGTGGATGAATAAATTACATGTTGATTCTTAGTATTGCAATTGACCATGATTAGTAGAAGAAAATTATTCTATATTTGGGAAGTTTTGGTAATGCGTGATAAACTTCCATTTTTATTCATTACATTGTCTGTTATGTGAGCGTATTTATCCTATTATGATATATATGCAGAAAACCAGTTTTTAGCAGTCCACATGATGCCCAGAAATGATGGTGTATAGAATTCTTAAGTGTAACTTTAGTATTTATTTCCTAATTTTGATGTCTTTAAAATTTATTTGTTGCACATAAACTAACAATGACGAATTCGAAGAAAAATATCTTACCCTCAATTCTAACAAAAACATATTTCTCTTTTCTACACTTTGTTCATAAATATTGATATTTTGAGTATGAATAGTAGTAGCATTGATGAAATTGTATATTATGCTTTTTAAATTTAAACTAACAAGCATTTTTCAGTGTTGCTGGAATCTAAATTTATGTAGATCAGCTTTCTAATAGTCCACTGAGTTTTGTGCTTTAAGTTACTTAATTATATCTTAAGTTTTTCATGAATAATAAATATTTAAGAGACCATTGTGGTACAAATTGCTTTTTCTTTCTTTTGGCTTTTTTTCTTAGTCTCAGAGTTTTATTTCTTAAGTCATGGGTAAGAACAGTCTTCAACTCTTGGAAACACTGTTACATTGTCTACCAAGGAGGTGTGCCAGTTTGAAATATCACAGGCACTGTATATAGTGATTTCACCACAGCCTTTTCAGAATTGCATATTTTAATAGAAATAAAATAACTTTTCTCAATTTGTGTTTTTTCTGTATTTTTTAAGTAAAGAGGGATGTTGCACATTTTGTATATAAATTGTTCATCAATTCTTGTGTCAATTGCTTATGTGTTTTTGTGTGTTATTTTTACCATTTAAATTTTTTTCAACAATCTGTGTGAGGACTTTTCATTTATTTGTGAGATCTATATCTTGACCTTTTATTTATTTTAATATTGCTTTTCCCTTTATACACATTACTTTTTTTTGGTTCATCTTTTCCTTTGTGGTTTTTCTATCATGTATATTTTCTTTCATAGAAATACCGCTTGTATTTTCTTTCATTTTCTTAAACTCCTTTTTTCTTTGTTTAGGGCTTCTAGCTTTGGTAGTAGTATTGTTGTAATCTCCTACCTGGTCTCTGTCAGGCTTGTCCCCTCCAATCCATCTTTGTTTTTCTTCTTAAGGGAACATTAATTGGGTGCTTACTAGGTGCCAGTCCTTGTGCACAGCAATTATTCATGGATTATCTCATTTAATCCTCACAGCAACCCTATGAGGTAGGTACTTTTATTATCCCCATGTTGCAAATGAGAAAACCAGGCTTAGGAAAGTTAAGCAACATACTCAAAGTGTCATAGCTGGCAAGTAGGAATTTAAATGCTGCTGTTCTGACTCCAGACGAGAGTTGTTACTATGCTGTGTTGTTTCCATGTTTAACTTCCTTAAAAGAACACAAGATAAAAATCTCACATTTCAAATGCTTAATTCTAATGGCTCCCTGTTTGTGTTATAACAGAAAGAGCTCACCATTGGAGTCAGATTTACCAGCCGTGAGTCTGTCACTTATTATCTGTGTGACTTGGGCCAACTTAATGTACTTTTTGAACTTGATTTTCTTTATCTATTTGCTAAGAATACGATACTGCATAGTTTTATTTGAGGATTCAGTGAGGTGATACATATACCGTAAACTTCTACCCCAAATGTTACATGATAGGTCATTTCCCTTCAAGTTCCCTTATAAATAAAATTGATATTTCTTACCATGACATATAGGACACCTGAGCTCCCTTTCCAGTTTCATCTCCTCCTCTTATCCACTATGCTATTGTGTGCCCACCGACTTCTCTTAATATCTTAAACATGCTTTATGTTCTCAGGACTGGCTTTGCCTTTCCCTTTTGTATCTGACAGTTTTCTTTTTATTCCTCAAACCCTAGTTCACCTATCACCTTATGTGATGTCTTTTCTTATCCTCCTATAAGGCTGCGATGGCATTTATATATTATTCAAAGTGTGCATTACTTAATCTGTAATGTAATTGTCTTCTAATATAATTATCTTTAGTTGCCTCCATTAAACTGTAAAAAGTCCTTAAATTTTCTGTTAAATTATTTTTCAATTTCAGTTGATATACAATATTATATTAGTTTCAGGTGTACAACATAGCGATTAGACATTTACATATGCTACAAAGTGATCACTCCCATAAGTCCAGTATCCATCTGGCATCATACAGAATTATTATGTTGATAGTATTATTGACTGTATTTCCTATGCTGTACTTTATATCCCAATTTGTTTTTCTTAATTTGCAAAGTTCCTTTAAGTGTAGTAAAACAATGTCTTACTCATCTTTGTACAAAGTATGTCTCATGTGTAGGTAGTGCCTGTTCTTACATATTTTTTTATTAAGTGAAATTCATGGCATGGATCACATATTCAAATTAGATTTACTAAAAGAGTACCTTAAATACTTACCTAAAGGCCACGCAGTAGGTAAGTATTTTTGAATAGATCAACTGGTTTTAGGATTTTTAGAAATAACCCTAGTACATACAATTATAGATCTTTTTACATTTACTCAGTAAATTCATCAGAAAATATCTACTTGATGGCAGTTTAAATAACCTAATTATTACTGTTTGTAAGTAACAACATTGCATATCTCCATCTTTCTTTATATTCCGTAATGCAAAATCCAGTATAATTATTTGTAAGTTTTAATAATTATATTTAATATTTTCAGTACATGTATGCATATATTTTATTGCTGTTATTGTTCTTATTGTTGTGCAGTTGATAATGCCATGGATTGTCTATTAGAATTATCTGCCACTGATACCAGGATAGAAGAGTCGTCTTCAAAAAGCATCATTGCTTCTGAGAACCAAGTAAGTGCAGCAGTAAATGAAATAATGGAAAAGTGTCCGCCGGAAGAAGAAAGTGAAGATTCAAAAATGGATTCATTCTTCGACATGCAGTTAACTGAAGACTTGGATTCCTTGATACAGAATGCTTTTGAGAAATTGAACTCTTCTCCTGATGGCCAAGAATGCTCATTTTTGCCTTTGCAAGATGTTAATAGTTTTAGTGACCCAAGTGCATTTATAAATTCAGATTCAAGTAGTATGGATTTGAACAATGAAAATTTAGAGACTTCTGCCTCTACTTTAAGTTCAAACACCTTAACTTCACAGTCAGTTTCAAATGAGCCCGGAAGTTTTATAAAGCATGACACATTGGAAGATTCTCTTCTCAGTAGTTCTTTAAATGTAGCAGATGACACTACAGTGGGTTGTAGCAATCAAAAAGAGAATGATCTTTTAGAATCTGAGTGTGTTGAGACTCAGTTCTCTCAAGCCCCTGTAGATTTGGATGCCAGTGAACCTCAGGCTCCTTTAAACTGTACTGTGCAAAATCCAGGGCTTGGTTTACTGGGTGCCGGAGGGAATCAGACATCTACTTCTACCCCTGATGTGTTTGTACCTTCTGAAGAATTCAATTTCAAGCCACACAAGCATAATGAATTGCCACCAAAGGGGAAGGATGTAAGTTACTGTCCAGTGCTTGCCCCTTATCCTTTGTTGCTGCCTCCTCCACCTCCACCAATGTGGAATCCAATGATTCCTGCTTTTGACCTCTTTCAAGCAAACCATGGCTTTGTAGCTCCTGTTGTTACCACGGCTGCACACTGGAGACCTGTCAACTATACGTTTCCATCCCCAATGATTTCTCACCCTTCTCCAACAAAGATATGGAGAAATCCAGAGGGAACAAGTGCTTATCAAGTGCAAGAAATTCCAGTTTCTCAGGTTGTAAGAAAGAAGACATCTTACGTTGGACTGGTTCTTGTTCTTCTCAGAGGGCTTCCGGGATCAGGAAAATCTTTTTTGGCAAGGTATGAGGTTTAATTGAATTTTAAGAACTCTAGTGCATGAACATGAAGATTGTAATTGAGTATGAACATGTGCTTTTGTTTAATAGAGATGTTTTGTAATCCCTTAAATGTTTATTTTCTACTGATTTTTTTTTTTCTTCTGACTTTGTGGCTGATTCTACTGTTTTCACCAGAATAGGAAAAAAAAAAAAAAAAAGATTCCAAGATTGTGTTTGTGAAATCAACAGAAATAACTTTATGTGAAAGAAAACTAATTTGTGTGGGAGAAGGATGAGTTCATTTTTGATTAGAGTGTTAAAGAGCCATAATTGATTTGAATTCAAGGAAGTATTAAGTATAAGAATTCTGGTAATTGGAAATTTGGAATTGTAGCATTTTGCTAAATAATACTTTTAGAAATGTGTGATTTGAAGGAAGAGAGCAAAGAATGAGTCACTGACTTAATGATAACAATAAAACACTTATATTAAGGATATTAAAATTAATTTTGATATTACATTTTGTGAAAGAGAATGGAATGATAAGAATGGTAACTTAAAAGGTAATAGAACTACCCTGGCCGGGTGGCTCAGTTGGAGTGTCGTCCCCATACACCAAAAAGATTAGATTCCTGCTCAGGGCACATACCCAGGTTATGGGTTCTATTCCTTGTCAGGACGCATTCAGGAGGCACCCTATCATTATTTCTTGCTTACATCTGTTTTTCTGACTTTCTCTTTCCTCTCTCCAAAATCAATAAAAACATATTCTTATGTGAATATTTTAAAAAAGTGTTTATAGAACTGTGACACAGGTTAGACTTCAGGGGCCTTGAAGCAAGAGGCAGCTGCAGTTAGGAAATGGAGAGAGAAAGAAGCACTTTTCACAAAGTAGGAACTTATTAATATTCTTTTGCCTTTTAAAAAAGTTTTTATTTATTGATTTTTAGAAAGATATATAGTTGATTCTTGTATGTTCCCTAAACTGGGGATCGAACCGCAACCTTGGTATATTGGGATGATGCCCTAACCAACTATGTGGCCAGGGCCTAATATTTTTTGAATGAGTAGAGAGTAATAACAAGGAAGTGCAGAGAGACAGAAGCTGAGTTTTCTCAGAGAAAATGGTATATAGTATTAAATTAGTGTGTAAGCCCAAGGAAATAAGGGATAAAAAAGGCTTTTGGATTTATTGGAAAGAAGCTCATGAATGGCTATCTTAAAAACAATTTTGTTTCATTGTGAAGGTAAAGGACAAAAGGTTTAAGAAAGCATTGATGATAAAGCAGTTAAGGAAAGGAAAGAAGCTGGGTAATAGTTGAATGGGGTCCTTAAAGTGTGGTGGAAATTTTTAAATATAGCTGAAATTTATGCATGTTTAAAGGGAAAGAAGTATTAGAGAAGGGAAGACTTAAGAGATAAAAGAGGATAAATGTAGAGTCTCAGAAGGTGGTGAGATCAAGTGAGCATTCACTAGCATGTAAGTTCCATGAATGCAAGAGTTTTTATCTTTTTTTGTTCATTGATGTATGCTTGGCACTTAGTAGATGCTAATTAAAATTAAATTCAAAAAACATTTTGGCTTTACATATACTGTATTTATACATATTTTAGAGGAGAGAATAGTGATATTTTCAGTGGATTTTATTTGTTTAGTTTTTGCATGTATTTCAATTATGTAGAGGATAAATTCCAAAATCTGGGAATAGAGATGTCAGAAACCCTTCTCAAATTATTTTAGCTTTGTACAATTTAACAGATTAAATTAGTTATCTATTAATGTTATATTTTTGAAGGTTTTGGCACACTAAACTTATAGAGATAATTTAGAAGAAAAATTACTGAAAATTCGTTTATATTTACAGGACTATGCAAGAGGATAATCCAAGTGGAGTCATTCTTAGTACTGATGATTATTTTTACATAAATGGACAGTACCAGTTTGATGTAAAGTACTTAGGAGAAGCACATGAATGGAACCAGAATCGTGGTAAGAAAATAGACATCAGAATCCAGATAATATTAAGAGTAGAAAAAAATTCTCTTAGTATTTATATTTTGAGAGACATCCAATTTGTAAAAAGTTGTTTGATTTATAACTAGATATATAACATATATGTCTAATTATTACTGTCACTATTTTTGTGTTCCATAAGAGGTAAAAGAGGTAGTCTTTCTCAAAACTGTTATGAAGATTAAATGAGTTAATTTTTGTAAAATGCATAGAACATTGCATGGTATGTTTGTTTCATTTATTCAATGGTAATCTTCTCAGAAGTCAGATTTTTCTCCTTGGGTCTCAGAATAGCTCAAGATGGTTACAGTTGTCTGTTATGCTCTGGTTCCTATTTCCTAAAATGGAATTTGCATTGTTAACCACCAGTCTTTCCTAGGTTAGTTTAATTTTTATGGAGGATAGTGTAAGAGAAAAATGGCTATCCTTAAACTGAAACTGTGGGAAGATTATAGGTAAAACTTTCATTTCTTTCTTAGTGCAGTGCAACTATCTATTCACTGAAGGTGGTTTATTATGAAATGGTTAGTTACATGACAGTTTAAATTTCATATAGGAAATTCATATTCAATAATATAAACAACCCTGTTGGGTGACTTGGTTGTTTGGAGCATTGTCCAATACACCAGAAAAGTTGTGGGTTTGATTCCTAATTGGGGCACACACCTAGGTTGTAGAATGTCTCGTGGATTTTTAATTATTTCTTTATTAGATTCAGTTAACTATTTCTGGACATAATACATAGATGATGCATATCACATCAGAGGGTACATGGTGTCAGCTTGTTTCATTACTAAAGATGTTAGTTGAAGTAATCACCAGATTTCTTCCGAAAGAACCCCCTTCAGCAATTCATATAATTCTGGTTTGGTGGTGATGAACTCCTTTAGCTTTTTTTTTATTTTTTTTATTAATGAAGCTCTTTATCTGGCCTTCGATTCTGAGTGATAACTTTGCTGCGTAGAATAATTTTGGCTGTAGGTTCTTGCTATTCATCACCTTGAATATTTCTTGCCATTCTCGTCTGGCCTGCTTCAGCTGACAATTGTATGAGTGCTCCTTTATAGGTATCTACCTGCTTTTCTCTTGCTGCTTTTAATATTCTCTCTTTGTCTTTTGCTCTTGGAATTTTAATTATGATGTGTCTTGGTGTGGTCCTCTTTGAATTCCTTTTGGGGTTCTGTGTGCTTCCTGAACTTGTAAGTCTATTTCTTTTACCAGGTGGGGGAAGTTTTCTGTTACTGTTTCTTCAAATAGGTTTTGAGTATCTTGCTCTCTCTCTTCTTCTGGGACCCCCATAATTCTGATAGACATCCAATTTGTAAAAAGTTGTTTAATTTATAACTAGATATATAACATATATGTTATATATCTTGAAGTTGTCCCAGAGGTTCCTTACACTATCTTCAACTTTTCAGATTCTTTTTTCTTTTTTCTTTTCCAGTTGCGTGTTTTTTGCTTCTTGGTATTTCATATCTTTGACTTGATTCTTGCTATCCCCTAGTCTGCTTTAAGTCTCTGTATAATATTTTTTTTATTTCAGTCAGTGTATGCTTAATTTCTGGTTAATCCCTTTTCATATCCTCGAGGGTGGTGTTAAATACTTTTAGTGTATTTTTAATGATAGGTTTTTAATTATGCTGCTAATACATGTGACACACATGTAAAACTTAGATCATATAGTTTTTATTTAATAATTTTTTCTGATTATAACAGTAGTGTTTATTATTCAATGTTTACCTGTATTTTAAATTTTTTTTGTATTTTAATTTTTTGTACATTCAAAAGTGATATTTAGAAGAAGAGTTATGAATAAAATTAGCACTATCTGTGACTTTCAAATTATAAAAGCAAGACCAGATTTTTAAAATACCAAGATCATACTTAATATTGTTATGAAAAATGACTTCATGTTTGTGTTTTTCAGCAAAAGAAGCATTTGAAAAGAAGGTATCTCCTGTAATAATAGATAATACAAACCTACAGGCATGGGAAATGAAGCCATATGTTGCTTTGGTTTGTACCTCATATTGTCATAAGTTTATAATAGTGGGTTTGAAATTATTGGGGATGTCAATTACATAAGTGAATCTTAAATAAAGCAGTTCATGGACTGTCTGTAACTAAAGTTTTCTCTGGTCTTCAGCAAAATGAGGAAAAGAGGAAATTAAAAAAATATATATTTTATTGATTATTTACAGAAAGGAAAAGAGAAGGATAGAGAGTTAGAAACATCGATGAGAGAAAATCATCGATCGGCTGCCTCTTGCACACCCCCAACTGGGGATGTGCCTGAAACCAAGGTATATGCCCTTGACTAGAATCGAACATGTGACCCTTCAGTCCACAGGCCGATGCTCTATCCACTGAGACAAACCGGTTTCGGCAGGAATTGTTTTTTTCATAAAGCTAAATTTTTTTCTGAGATTAAATTTTTATTAAATATATTTTTATTGATTTCAGAGAGGAAGGAAGAGGGTGAGAGAGATAGAAACATCAACGATGAGAGAATCATTGATTGGCTGGGCTGAAAATTCTGTATCTTTCTTAACATATTAAGGACCTCTTCTCAATACATATGGAATTTAAAAAATTGTATATTTTCATTGTATGGTTATACACTCAGTATTTAGCTAATTCCATAAGCTACTGATACATGTATTTCTTTTGCTATTACAAATAATGGTGAACGGGATATCCTGTTTGTATACATATCTTTACCCTCTTATATAACTGTCAATAGCATAAATTTCTGGAAGTTAATTGTTGGGTCAAAGAGATTGTTCATTTTACCAATTTAACATGCTCATCAAGTGGGTTTGGCTCAGATAGAACGTTGGCTCCAGGACTGGAGTCCCAGGTTTGATTCTGGTCAAGGGCACATTCTTTGGTTGTAGGCTTGTTCCCTGATCCTGGAGGCAACCGATTGATGTGTCTTTCTAACAGTGATGTTTCTCTCTTTGTCTCTTCCTCCTTCCTTCCACTCTCTAAAAATTAATGGAGCCCTGTCCAGTTTGGCTCAGTAGATAGAGCGTCGGCCTATGGACTGAAAAGTCCCCAGTTGATTCTGGTCCGGGGCTCATGCCTGGGTTGTGGGCTCAATTTCTAGTAGGGGGGCATGCAGGAGAGCCAATCAATGATTCTCTCTGATATTTCTATCTCTCTTTCCCTCTCCCTTTCTCTCTGAAATATATATATATATAAACACACAACAACAATGGAAAACTATCCTCAGGTGAGGATTAACAAAAGCCACCTCACAAGATTAGATAAACTTTTGGGTTCTTTCAGTTTTAACATGCTATGAATTGGATACACTGAATTTAATTTCATAAATATAATTATTTATAAAAGCTTTTTATTTTATTTTTTGTTTTCAGTCTCAAAAACATAAATATAAAGTCCTTTTTCGGGAACCAGACACATGGTGGAAGTTCAGACCAAAGGAACTTGCAAGGTAAAATTTGGAGACTACTTACTATATTTTTTATTTCATGACAGTGATAGAAAATCTATTGAAAATTTTCTCCCTTATGAATAATGAATGAAATAAAATGGATTAGATTGCAGGTTAGCCATTTAAAAATTGATAACAAATTTTACATAACAAAAAGCATATGGGCTTTTTATTCAATATGAAGAATTTGCATCTTTTTGTTACTACAATTGAGTTAATTAATAGAAAAATTCCAGTTGTCCATATATAGACAATTCTTTAATACTTACTAATAATATGACGTCATTATCTGAAACTAGAACAGATGCTAAAGTTTGGGAGGAACAAATTATTGTAGCTGCCTAGTGACTTAGAATACTGCAAGGAAGTGAGGAGACATAGATGAAAAGGTAGCAAATGCCCAGCTGTTCAGTTGTCCCGGTATTTCACCTCCCCCTTTCTTTCTTTGGTTGTTTGACTTGAATAAAAATGTTACTCGGACAAGGACAGACAACATATTTTTCTTTGTGCTCTATACTTCCTCTGATAGCCCTAATTTAGTTTAGTCAGGCTCTCTTGGCAATTCTAATTAATTCAATACTAACTAAAGGACAACCTAATTTTAGTGTATTCACAGTGTTGAGCAACTATTCAAAAAGAAACCCAGAACCTGCTATCAGTCACTTCCAATTCCCTTCTCCTTTTGGTAGCCACTAATTTGTTTTTCTTTCTCTGAGGATTTGTCTATTCTGGATTTTGCATATAAATGAAATCCTACAATATGTGGCCTTTTGTATCTGGCATCTTTCACTTAGTTTAATGGTTCAAGGTTCATCCATGTAGAATAGACCAGTACTTTATTCCTTTTTATTCTTTTAATATATTATCTGTATAAATGAGTGAGATTAACCTACAGATTTTTCTTCCTTGCCCTGCCTTGCCTGACTTTGGTATCATAACTAATTTCATAAAATTACTTGGGAAGTATTTCTTCTTTTTCTCTTTTATGAGTTTATGAAAGTTTGATTATTTGATAGAATTTACTTACGGAACTATCTGGATCTGGTGTTTTCTTTCTGAGAAGGTTCAGTTGAAATTTTTCCATTACACCAAAACTTTCTAATTTATTAAGACTTTATTAAAATAATTACCTTACCATTTAACCTCTGCTGTATCTATAGTTAAGTTCCCCTTTTCATCTTAATATGTTTATGTGTATCTTCCTTCTTTTTTCTTGATTATTCTCACCAGAGATCAGACTTTATTAGCCTTTTCAAATAACTCTGCTTGATTGATCTATTATGTTGTTTTATGTTTAATTTTTTATATTTCTGCTTCTCTTTTATTCTATCTTCGCTTTTCAAAAAGTTTATTTTGCTTTGTATATTCTTTTATTTAAAAAAAATCTTTAAAATTTAGGTCACTTTGTAATATAATTTGGTTCTATAAATTTCACTAGGTACTATGTTAGCTGCTCCCAGAATTTTAATCATTTGTTTTGTAATTTATATTATGACTAATTTTATTCTTTAGCCCCTGGGTTATTTAGAACTATGCTTTTAAATTTCTGAACAGATGGTTTTTAAATTTATCTTTAAAAAAATTGGTTTTTAACTTTAGTAGGTAAGGTTATGCAGTTTGTGTGATACCAATTACCTGATATTTTAAAAAATGTATTTATGGTCTAGTTCATTGTAAGTTTCTAAATAAATGTTTTTTATTTGCTTGATAATGTATACTGTTTATGGTGTGTTAATATATTATTATTCTGTTGTTCACATCTTCCATAGCTTTATTTATTTTAAAAATTTTGCTTGATGGATGAATATGAGGAAATCTCTGTGAGAGAGGTGTGTTGAAATCTCTCTGTATTGTGTTGAATATATTAGTTTCTCCCTATAACTTTGCCTATTTTTCACTCTATATATTTTGAGGATGTATTTTGAAGTGTATAGAAGCTTAAGATTTTTATATACCTCTGGTTCATTGAATATTTTATCTTTGTCTAGCCATTTTCTCTTTTTCTTAATTTTTGTTATAAAATCTAATTTGTCTACTACTAATAGAATTTGTTATATTTGAGAGTTATTTCTTTTTCTATACTTTCATTTTCAACCTTTCAGTATTTTTGTTTTTAGGTATATTTCTTGGAACCAGTATGGTTGGGTTTTTAATAAAATCACTCTATTTTTGGATTTTAATTGATTAAGCTTAGTTCTTTTATGGTTATTTATTTTTATATAATTGGTCTTGCTTCTTAGTGTCTCTGATTTATATTTATCTCACCTTTTCTGTGATTGTTTTATCTTCTATCACAAAAAATTATATATTTGAAAAAATTTTCCTATCATGCTTATTTTTTTATTGAATGCAAATTTTCTTATTCAGTTTTTTCTTGTGTGCTAATTTGGAAATTTTATGTACTTTTTTATTTTTCTAGTGTTACATTAAAAATTTTATCATGCAAATTTTAAAGTTGAAGCATTTCCTTAGCTTTACTCCTCTAAATATTTTAACTCTAATACACTTACATGCTGTGAATACCTCTCTTCCATCTTCCATCTTACATTATCCAGAATGTACAGATACTGTTTATTTTTACTCATGGAGTTATCACTTTGTGCTTAATTTTTCTTTCACTATAGATCTTTCATCTGGGAATTTCCTTTTGCCTGACATTGATCTTTAAGGATTTTCTTTACACTGTAGGACTGCTTTATGTCACACTTTTTTTTTTTTTTTTTTAAATAATCTAAAAATCCTATTATTGTCCTCATTCTTTTAAAGTACTTTTGCTATTGTGTAAATTCTAGCTGGACAGTTTCTGTTATTGAAGATTACATTTAACTCTCTTTGACTTCCATTTTTGTTGTAAAGTTAGTTGTAATTTTAATTTCTTTGTAGGTGACTTTTTGTTTTTAATTTCTGGTTGCTTTTGATATCATCTCTTTATCTTTGAATGACCATTTTGAAACTCTGTTTCTAGTTGTGGATTTCTTATTATTTATCTTTTATGGGATTTGTTGGACTTCTGAGATCACGGGCTTGATTTTTTTCATCAGTTCTGGAAAATTCAAAGCCATTTTTCTTTAAATCGCTTCTGTCCCATGTACTCTCATTTCTCTTTCTGGGACTTGGATTAAACATATACTAGACCTTTTTGCTCTGACCTCAATGTCTATGTCTCTTAACTTTCCTTTCATATTTTCTCTGTGCTTCTCTGTGATCTGAAACCAGACAGGATTGAGGTAGGTAAATATGAAAGCCAGATTTGCCAGGCGGCAAATGCTAATATTATTAGCTTGGGATCCGCCTAAGCCTTGGACCCAACCTTAGACAGGAGAGATGCAGTAAGATGCTTTCTTTAAGTAAGACTAAAGCATACGGTCCTGGAAGATGCCAATTCAGATGCTGTATGAATGAAAGCATTCCCAGGTTAAGCCTAAAGATCCCAATATGTTAGTTTCCATTAAATATAAACTCATAAACAAAAACACACAAAGAAATAAACCATCATGAGTTAAGTCACAACTATAACAAACTTCATATTTGGACATCTGAGATTTTAAGTATTAGGAATTTTTTTCTTTGAACTTAAGATGTATTAAAATGTATGTTTGCTTTAATTTTGTTAGGTTTCAGTTTTTTGCAGCAGGAGGGTCCTTTGGAACATCTAGTTTGGAATTTTTTTACTCACTATTTAATAGTAATTAAAATCTTGAAATGATGGTCATATTCCTATGAGATTTTTTTTAAGAGCTTGAGAATAACTTCTAAAGTTATTAGGATCTATGCATTTTTTCCAAGTTGATAAAGGATATTTGGAACAAGATTAAATGGAATGATTAATAAAATGAAAATTTAAGAAATCCTGAATAAAATGAAAATTAGATTTAAAGTAATATATATTATTTTCATAATCAGCTTTGTTATTTTTATACATTATAAATATTGTTTTTTTTATGACATTATTTGTTCTGATTGTTTTAAAAGCTTAATTTCCCTTATCTTTATCTTTTTCTCCTCTGGATTTTTAAGGCGTAATATTCATGGGGTAAGCAAAGAAAAAATAACAAGAATGTTGGAACACTACCAACGTTTTGTTTCAGTGCCAATAATCATGAGTTCTTCAATGCCAGAAAAAATTGAACGTGTTGAGTTATGTGCATATTCGCCTGAGGACCGAAGTTCTAGGTAGGTTCAAGTCCCTATGTACAAATTTTCTATTTAAAACATGATTAAAAAAATTATATTGTGAAATCACTGTCAGATAATTTGTATAGCTTATATATACTTTTACCTGAAGCAAGATCTATATTATTAGCAGGGAAAATAAAAGTTTGAGTGATGATGTGAGAGGTTTTTCATTGTCTGGGGGTTTTGTGGGGCCATGTAATTCATGCATGGTTAGGATCCCTAGGCCTGGTGGGCGGTAAGGATTGATTGAGGCCTTTTGGCTGTTGACCAGGGCCTGCCTTCCAGCTGCTGTCTGGGACCTCCCTTCCCTGGCTGCTGGCTGGGGTCTTCATTTGTTCCATGCTGCACCCTTGTGCTCAGCACACATCATAGTGAGTGATCGAACTCCCAGGCTCCTGGTCGAACTCCCGAGGAGACACTTTGTGTATTAGCCTTTTATATCCTATATAGTAAAAGGGTAATATGCAAATAGACCAAGCGGCAGAACAGCTGAACAACAAATCAAAACATAATATGGTAATGATATGCTAAGGATGCTCAACCACTGGGTATGACATGCACTGACCACCAGGGGCATACAGTTGACAAGTGGACCAGTTGCTATGACATGCACTGACCACCAGGAGGCACATGATCCAACAGGTAGGTTAGCTTGCTGCTGGGGTCTGGCTGATCGGGACTGAGTGAGATGGGCCAGATATGCTTCGGAGCTCTCCCGTGATTCCTCCCTAGCCCAATTTTGGGTCCTTCAGCCTGGCCTATGTCCTCTCACAATCCAGGACCCCACAGGGGATGTCAGAGAGCCGGTTTCAGCCCAATCCCACAGGCCACTCCCTTTGGGAGGGTGCCAGACTCAGGGCTCATGGCTGGCAAGCCCAGCAGTGCAAGCCTCTCGATTGGGACTGATTGGGCAAGAGCCTGTGACAGCACAGTGAGGCCGGGATGAGCTTGAGCGGCAGGTAGGAGCTGCAGGTGGCATTGGACTCCTGGTTTTGGCCAGTCTCTGCAGGCCACTGAGAGGGACCCCACTGGTGCATGAATTAGTGCTGTCATGCTAGTATAGTAAAAATTAAAAAAAAAAAAAACATGTTTTTATTGATTTCAGAGAGAAAGGGAGAGAGAGAGAGAAAAATGAAAGAGAATTATGAGAATCATTGATTGGCTGCCTAATGCACGCCCCCTACTGGGAATTGAGCCCACAACCTAGGCGTGTGCTCTTGACTGGAATTGAACCTTCAGTCCCGAGGCTGATGGTCTATCCACTGAGCGAAACTGGCTAGGGTGTAAAAATTAATTATTAGTGGTATAATTTTACTAAGTAATGCAAATCATAGACTTTTTAATTATTGATTTTTAGAGAGGAAAGAAGGGGGGAGAGAGACACACAGACATTGATGTAAGATACATCTATCACTTGCCTCTCATATGGACTCTGATTGGGTATCAAACTCACAACGTAGGTGTGTGTTCTGACTGGGAATCAGTCCTACAACCTGGTGCATGAGACTATGCTTCAACCAACTGAGCCTGGGCCAAGTCATAGCCTTTGGAAAATTTGTAATCCAGGATAGTACTGATTCTGTGAAAAATTTAAAACACATAAACAATTGATTATATGAGTAAAGAAGGACTATATATATATATATATATATATATATATATATATTTAAATATATTGATTTTTTTACAGAGAGGAAGAGAGAGGGATAGAGAGTTAGAAACATTGATGAGAGAGACTCATCGATCAGTTGCCTCTTGCACACCTCTTACTGGGGATGTGCCCGCAACCAAGGTACATGCCCTTGACCGGAATCGAACTCTGGGCCTTTCAGTCCACAGGCTGACACTCTATCCAATGAACCAAACCGGTTTCGGCAAGAAGAACTTTATATATAGAGGTCTGAATTGTCCATATTTTATGATTGTAATGGACAGAGAGATTCTATTAAAAAGAAGTTGGGAATTGGGAAGGGAAAATTCATAAATTCCTTTTCATTGAGGTGTTGCAAACTGGTGAAGAACATGGATTCTTGAGCCTTATTTCCTGGCTTCCACCCCATATTTTATAATATGTAACTATACAATCTTTCCATTCTTCATTTCTTCATTTCTAAAATGGTAAAACAACACTTTACTCGTAGGATTTCATAAGGATTATTAATTAACACTTGTAAAGGACTTAGATTAGAATAGCATTTGGCATATAGGAAACTCAATCTAGATGTGATTTTAGTAGGAAGGCTTTATGGGAAAGGTGAGACTTTGAGAGCTCCTGGAGTAAAGAAAGGAAGGTTGACAAATTGATAAGGAAAGTAATGATTAGGCAAAAGTGCTCTCTGGGTCTGAAGTTAACATTACGGATGGTTTTTTAAAAATCTCCACTGAAAGCTCTCTTCCCTATCTCTCATTTCTTTAACTGTGCAAATCATGTTGGTTGACTCTCTGTGATTTGTAAATGAAATTTAAACATTTTCCTCTGTAGCAAATGACAGGTAGGTGATATGGAGGCAGACCTAGTTTCACATTGTTAAGCTTAAAGAGGTAGGAAAAAGAAAACCAGGGAGGTTTGTCCTTTTTTGGAAACACATTTAGAAACATAACTTTAATATTTATGTATAATAAACAACTTAAAATCTCATATTACTCAATTAAAAAAAAAAGTTTTAGTGCTTCCTAGATGCCAAGCATTTTGCTAGGTTGGTTACAACAAAGGGATTTGTTCATAATGTCTTACAGAAAGACCAAGATTAGCTTTTATAATTTTAATGTATTATATTTCTAGAGCTTTTAGACTAAATAAATGTTACGTGTCTTTTCAGTTGAATGCTTTTTAAATTTAAAGTCACAATGTTAATAGTAGCATTAAGAGGCTTCCTTATAACCCTTTAAAAAAAATCTTACAGCCCAAAAGACAATGAAGACATTACCTCTGAAAAAGAAGAAAAAATCTTATCCTCACCTCTGAAGCATGTAGAGTTAATTGAAGAGAAGAAACTTGAAGTGACCAAAGAAGCTGTGTTACCTGAGACTGTCACATGTCTCCCTAGTGAAGATTTAAACAAAGGAAGTGATGTGAATCCTAACATTCAGAGTGCTTTGATTCAGGAAGTTCCAGACACATATTTTTCTAATTCTGAAAACAAAGTAGGAGTAACAGACAAAAGTGAAAATGAAAAGCAAGTAGAAATGGCTTCTGAAAAAGAATATAGTAAAACCGAAACAGATAGTTTTGCAGAGATATTGTCACCAAGTATTAGCTATGGTGAAAATAATCAAGAAGACTGTGATCTTTCAAATACTGTATCACTTCAGAATGAAAATTCTTCACCTGGTGAAATATTGGGAGAAAGTGCAGCAGTAAAGAAAAAAGCCGTTGGAAAACAAAAAAGCAAATCAACTTTAGAAAAGTCACCGAGTCATGAGCTATCAAACTTTGTTGGTGATTGGCCAGTTGATAAAACTATTGGTCAGAGGACAAAAAGGAACCGAAAAATGGAAAAGGCTTCATCTGTACAAAATGACAAAAACTATAATTGTCCTTCATCATGCAAAGTATTAGATAATGGTCTGTCTGGGAGTATGGGCAATACCCAGCAACCAGGATGTCCACATGAAAGTGTAGAGGATGACAAGTCACAATGTGATGATGCTTCCGAAGCTTTTAGTAGCTGTCACTATGATGCTTACAAAAATACTGAAACAAATTCATTTAACATCGCGGGCGACTGGCCTTCATCTGATTCTTTAGCTCAGAGAGAGCACAGATCAAAAACGCCAAAGGCTGCTTTAAATGAACCCAGCCTAGAATTTGCAACTAATGACATTATGAGTGAAATATCATACACAGCACATGAAGCCTATTGGGGCACAAGCCCTGAAGAACTAAAAACGTTAGGTAGTAGTATTCTAGGAAGTTCTGAAATGCTATCTAGTGAAATGACCTGTGAGAATAAGACTTGTCCAAATACAATGATTCATGGGCAACAATCATTGTCTCTTACTTTTACCAATAGTGTTCCAGCTACTCCTGGTGTAGTAGGAGCACAGACTTTAGCTGAATTTCCAGAGGGAGAGCCTAAAGAAGCCCCTGGAGTAGAAGTAGGCATGTGTACCCAGACAGAACCACGGGATTTTAATCTCTTATGGAAAATAGAAAAGAATAAAATTAGTGTTTCAGATTCTATGAGAGTATTAACAGGAAGATTAGATGGATTTAAACCAAAAGCTTTCAATATTAATACAAACTTAGATATTCAAGAAACAATTCCCTATCGGGTAATGCATGATAAAAGCACATTTGTTGAAGAAAGTGAGCTTACCAGCGCTGATGAATCTGAAAATCTTGATGTTCTTTGTAAACTATTTGGATCTTTTTCATTAGAAGCCCTAAAAGATTTATATGAGAGGTGTAACAAAGATATTATTTGGGCCACAAGCCTTTTGTTGGACTCTGAAACAAAATTATGTGAGGATACTGAATCTGAGAATATCCAAAATTCATATGATGAAACACAAATTGGGCCATTTTCTCAAGGACTTAATTTGAAGGAAATTATTGGCCAAAGAGGAACCTTGGAAGATTCTAATTCTATGCCAGAATTTAGCCATGAGATTGATATCACTGACATCAATGCACAGTCTATCTGTGATCCAGAAAAGGGAAACTCAGAGCAGGCAGAAATAAGAGCTACAACTACTGAAAAATCTGGATTAATAAGTCTATTTCCTAATGGCACCATGGATCTAAAGAATACTAATGAAGTACTTCCTAATAGTCAGGCAGAACTTCCAGTTGAACATAATATTAACCAGTCGTTTTCAGGAGCTGTAAAAGCTACTCCTGCTCAAGATTGGGGTGAAATGGAGAAGACTCTAGAATTTACAGAAATTGGAGACAGTATGCATTCTTCTTTGAATTTGTCTGATATTTTAAACTCTGTATCGAGCACTTCAAATCTTGAGTTAAATGAAGAAATTTATTTTCCTGACTCTTGTGAAATAAAAAAACATGGAAATCTTCCAAAGGACTATATAAAATTTCTAAACACAGAAGAATTTATGAGTGAAGATGAACAGGAAATGGAAAGAATTCTAATGACGGGGAGTACTTTGCCAGCTGGAGTTAGTGAGGAAGATAAGACGGAGATGTTGAATCCCACAGCAGCGATGACCAAATCTCTTACCATAGACTGTCTGGAACTGGCATTACCCCCTGAACTGGCTTTTCAGCTTAATGAATTATTCGGCCCTGTTGGTATTGATTCAGGTAAAGAAAAAGTAAATTAGCTTATGATTCTTTATATGAATAGAATATATAGAGCTTTATTTCAATTCAAAAATTATTTCATATGTTAATTGAAATATAAAAGTAATTTATGTTGTCTACCATATTTTCTTTTATTGTGAGAGGAAGAGAGAGAGGGGCAGACAGACAGACAGAAGACAGACATTGATGTGAGAGAAATATTGCTAGGTTGCCTCCTGTATGTGCCCTGACTGGAGATTGAACCTACAACCTGGGTATGTGCCTTGACCAGGAATCGAACCTGCTACCCTTTGATGCACAGGACAGTGCTCAACCAACTGAGCCACACTGGCCAGGGCATTCTACCTTCTTTTTGATACTGTATTTGTAGAGGATTTAAAAAATGTAATTTGAAGAAATAGTATTTATCCCGTGCATATATTTGAAAGTTTTCTCTGATACTTAATGCATACCTATTAACACAAATGAACCTTTATTAACCCTTAGGTGGTACTTTAGATACATATAAGGCAAGATTAATTTCTTAGAACACACTTATTGAAAAGTCTCAACTAATGGAAATGATTAAATAAATTTTAGATTAATGGACACGAATAACAAATATGAAAAAAATGACATTAAATAAACAAAAATATTCCAAGAGAACTAGAAACATAGGTTAATAATTGACACAAATTAGTATTATGATACATAAAGTGGTTGAGTGTGTGTTCTGCAAATACATGAGTAATGATTATAATTTTCTTTTTTTTCTTTACAAGGGTCGCTAACAGTTGAGGATTGTGTGGTTCACATAGATCTGAATCTGGCTAAAGTGATTCATGAGAAATGGAAAGAATCTGTAATGGTTGGTAGGCTTCTTTTTTTTTAATCCTCTAGTAGATTCTAGAGAGGTTGGGAGAGTGAGAGAAATAGTCATATGAGAGAGAAACATTGATCCATTATCTTTCCCCTCCACCTTACCCCTTATTCACCTCAAGCTGGGATCAAACCTGCAACCTAGTTATCTGCCCTGACCAGGATTTGAGCCTGCAACCTTTTGGTGTATGGAATGACACACCAACCAACTGAAACACCTGACCAGAGTTGTAGGCTTACTTTATTTTTATTTTTTAAAATATATTTTTATTGATGTCAGAGAGAGATAGAAACATCAGTGATGAGAGGGAATCATTGATTGTCTGCCTGCTGCATGCCTCCTTCTGGGAAGATTTCCATGTTGATTCTGGGAATCAAGCCTACTGTAACCCAGGCATGTGCCCTTGACCGGGATCAAACCTGGGACCCTTCAGTCTGTAGACAAATGCTCTACCCACTGAGCCAAACTGGCTAGGGCTGTAGTCTTATTTTTATAGAGCACTCCTTTTGTATTCATTTTGTCACCTTTGCTTTTCAATAAACTTTGTTATATGGAAGAGTTATGTTGAACTTCGACTTTAAGAGAGAATACATTTTTATAATTTAAAAGATTATTGATTCCTCCCACCCCAAGTAATTTAGATTATTTCTAGACTCACTATATTATGTAATTAATGATGAAGCTCAATATGTTGATTTTTTTTCTTTTTAATGGAAAAAGTCATAGTTTTTACTTCCTAAATTAAAGACTTGCAGTACTGACTGATTAAATACAGCATAAGAGCTCTATAAGTGGAAAAAAATATATAGCTGTAGTCATACTTTATAATTTTATTTACCTAATTTTATTGTATACTAGAGGCCCGGTGAATGAAAATTTTTGCACTTGGGGGGGGTCCCTTAACCCACCCTGCACCCTCTTGCAGTCCAGGACCCCTTGGGGGATGTCTACTGCCAGTTTAGGTTCGCTCTTGGGGGGGAATCGGGCCTAAGCTGGCAGTCAGACATCCCTCTGGCACCCTGGGAGCCCTCGGGGGATGTCCGACTGTGGCTTAGGCCTGCTCCCTGTGGGAAGTGGGTCTAAGCTGTTAGTCGGACATCCTTAGTGTTGCCATGAGGCGGGAGAGGCTCCCACCACCGCTGCTGCACTGGCCTGCCCTGAGCCGGCTTCTGGCTGAGCGGCACTCCTATGGAAGTGCACTGACCACCAGGGGCCAGTTTCTGCATTAAGCCTCTGCTTCCTGGTGGTCAGTATGTGTCATAGCCACCCGTTGTTCCCGGTCGTTCTGTCAATAGGGTCAATTGGTATATTACCCTTTTATTATATAAGATTTGGATTTTAGCAAGAACAATTAACAATTTTATAAGGAGAGATTATTTCTAGAGAAAAATGATATAATCTTTTTTTTCTAATGCACTTTCCTTTGCCAATCTTTGTTCTGTGTTTGTATTTAGGAGCGACAAAGACAAGAAGAGGTTTCCTGTGGCAAATTAATGGGAGGTAAAAGCACTTATCTTTTACTTCTAATGATCTTGTCTTGACATTGAACTTGGTGTGTGTATGTGTGTATGAATTGTAACTCATTTTAAGCATATTTTCATAAATTACCCAATAATTTGGATTTGCAAGTAAAAGTTCTTTAAAAATTGTCTTATTTTCATTATGAAGAAAACACACACCCTGTAATACAATTCAGCTGTGAGTGCTAAATTGTATTCATGAGTGCTGTGAAACATGTAAGGTTTTTCTCTAATATATATATAGTCAAGGTGTTTCCCGTTAAGATTTGCTCTGAATGAAAGAAAACTGTTCTGGTCTGAGAGCAATAAAAGTGTTCATGTGTTTGAGAGCATTGTTGAAATATTAGTTGCCTATTAAAAATTTTTTTTGATGTTACTACCGTGTTTCCCCGAAAATAAGACATCCTCCGAAAATAAGACCTAACGCATGGAAAGATAAGACATCCCCTGAAAATAAGACCTAGCGCAACTTTGGGAGAAAAAATTAATATAAGATACTGTCTTATTTTTGGGGAAACAGGGTATTACTTGAGCACAAAAGTCAGCCTGCTCTTTTAGGTACATCTGCCAAATTGAAAATATTTGATTCTAGACTTCTCTTTGATAGCATTGTCCTCAGTGATTAGTACAGGTTGGCAGACCTGATAATAAGGGTCTTCCTTTTGTGTATGAGTTCCTCATATACTTGTTTTGTTCACTCTACGCTGGGACTGCAAGTTAAAGATTCTTAGGATGTACTTGTGTTGTAGCTTCAAGAGCTAAAGCTGTTTGAGAACTAGAGGTGCCGAAAGGGTATCCAGAGTTGTATGAATGAAAGTATTGACTGTTTTTTTCACTTTCCAAGAAAGCAAAAGAAGGTATCAGAACGTGCTGCTATCCCTTAGAATAGTTACACATTGTTGTGAACTTCTTAGGGTGTTCAGTTCCTTTCTTTTGTTGAATGTTGAATATCATTTGCTCAATATTTATTGGATGCCTCCAGGGGATTGGTTACAGATTTGCCCAAATATTGATGTTTCAGTCCTTGGAGTGACTGGACAGAACTGACCAGAGCTGCTCTCGGTGATCATTTGAGTTGGCTGCAACTTCCTGTGTTTACTGTTGTATATGTCACTGTTTACTGTGTGTTGATATGGTATGGAAAAGAGTGGGAAGCGCTGAGTTGATTTTTAGTGATACCTAGTCATGCTCATTTGAAATATTCCTTTGTGTACACGTCATTTCTTGCTTGCTTCATAACTATATGAAGACGTATTTTGAAACTTCAGAATTGCTTTATATTTAAAAGCTAAAAGTGAAAAAAAGTTTCCCCTGGGTCTCTCTGAGGTAAATATAACAGAGTATAATGTTTAATTTGTATGTTTTTTGTTGAGGGACTGACAATATTTATACTGCTTTTGTAGATCCTTCCCTGGTTGGGCATATTGGTCTTGATAATACTGAACAAAAGTCATCTCAAAGAACAGGCAAAAAATTACCGAAGACTTTAGCAACATCTGAAATGCTACCCTTACTGGATCATTGGAATACTCAAACTAAAAAAGTATCACTCAGAGAAATAATGTCAGAAGAAATTGCCTTACAGGAAAAGCAGGATTTGGTATGAGTTAGTATAAATATTAAGCTTTTGTCTCTGACTCTATGTTGATCATGTATGTTTACTTTGTGATTTTCATTTGATTATATATTTCCTAGTCTGGAATTTGTATTTAACTTGACTGCCCTTAATGTTTAAATTGAAAAATGTTTTATTTTATTTTTTTAAATTAAATTATCTGTGTACATATCTTACCATTGCGCCTCTCCCAAATATACCCTCCCTCCCCAGAGTTTTGTGTCCATTGGTTGTATTTATATGCATGTATACAAGTCCTTTGGTTGATCTCTTATCTCCCCCATATCTCCCTACCCTCCCTGCTGTAATTTGATAAGTCTGTTTGTTGCTTTACTGTCTCTATATCTATCTTTTGGTTCATCAGTTTATAATGTTCTTTATTATCCATAAATGAGTGAGGTCATGTGGTGTTTCTCTTTCATTGACTGGCTTATTTCACTAAGCATGATATTCTCCAATTCCATCCAGGTTGCTGCAAATGATAAGAATTCCTTTTTTATGGCAGCATAGTATTCCATTGTATAGATATACCATAGTTTTTTTATCCAATCATCTGCTGACGGGCACCTAGGCTGTTTCCAAATCCTAGCTATTGTAGATTGTGCTGCTATGAAGGGGTGCATATATCCTTTCTGATTGGTGTTTCTAGTTTCTGGGATATATTCCTAGGAGTAGGATTACTGGGTCAAATGGGAGTCCCATTTTCAGGTTTTTGAGGAAACTCGATACTGTTCTCCACAGTTGTTGCACCAGTCTGCATTTCCACCAGCAGTGCACGAGAGTTCCTTTTTCTCTGCAACCTTGCCAACACTTGTCGTTTATTGATTTGTTGATGTTGGCCATGCTGACAGGTGTGAGTGATAAATGTTTTAAACATAGTTGAAAGCAGGAGTTTTTTACTTCTGGGAAATTAATTGATATTCTACATCAATAAACTAATCTGTATTAAATTATGTTGCTTTAGATTTAATTTTTCAGGTGCTTTAGCTGCATATTTCTTGGCTTTTAAATATTTATGCAATTTTTAAATTCTAGAAACATGAATGAGATCATATATATATATATATATATATAATCCTTTTCGACCATCTGACTAGTAGCTGTGTTGCGCACTGACCATTGGGGCAGATACTCAACTCAAGAGCTGCTGAGCTGCTGTGACTTGGCAGCCGTGTTTCTTGGGAGACCACCTGGTACCAGAGATGAGGGAGCCTGATTCTGGGTGTGTCACCCGAGAATCACCCTCTTGCAATCTGGGACCCCTTGGCAAATGTTGGAGAGCTTGTTTTGGCCAGATCCCTACAGGCCAAGCCGAGGGACCCTCCTGTATACTGGTCCTCTAGTTTAAAGATAATTTCATTCATATATTAGTAATAAGAAATGTGTGTCTGGCTTTTAAAGATGTTTACCTCTGGAACAAAATTTTTTACAGAATGTTTTAGAAATTTAACAATTTGAATTAAAAATTTAAGTACCCTTATCTAACTTTTCAATTAAACAAATTCAAACAGAAACTTCATATCATCTTGAACTTTGTTTTTGTTCCTTATTCAGTGTGTCTAATTATATGAAACTAGAAGTGAATTTTGTTTCCTTTTATTGTTCTTAGCCTTTTTTGGAATTCTGAAAATTAGTATTAGAGAATTTCTAGATCAGAAGAGGAAAGACCCTAAAAGCCATTTAGTCCTGTTTTCAAGGAAAAAAATAACTCCTAGCTGGTGAACTTAACACTTTTCTCTCTTATTCATTTTACTGTTCAAAGGAACACCTTTATATTTGGTTGAAATACATAGAATTGGGGCATAAGAAGAATGATGGGGTTCCTTTACCTTTATATTTACTTTCTCTAATTATGTTGTTAATTAAATTGGAAATGTGCAAGCATTTCCATCTTCACATGTTATATAATCCAAGAAACAGTCTCTTTAGTAGGATCTTATAATTTAGTGTTTTTTCATATATCCTAGCTTATTTATGTAATAAATTAGATAGACTATTTTAAAAAATAGGGAAGCCTAGAACTTAAGCCCAAATGGTGTTATACTTTTTGTTGAAATATAATTTTCCACTGCTAAAACTTGTTTCCACTGTTTTAACCTGCCTCTTAATCTCTCAATATAATAGCGACCAATTGAACATCTTTGACTTCCCAACTTAATGCACTGTTTTTCCTATCAGTATTTTTTGCTTGTCTTGTCTGGGTTGTGTAATAGAAACTATATGCTTTGGTCCCAAGGTAAAACATCCAATAAGAGAATTTTGTGATGCTTTATCCTCATTTTTTTTATCCCCAAAGGAGGAATATACTTTTTTTTTAAAGCAAAGACTATAAAATAAACTTAAGATGTAATGTATGGAAAGAATAATTAATTGTAAGATGATTAATAGTACAAGTTTTAATTTCTTTGAATTTGAAATTTTGAAACTCTATGGCCTGGTATATTGCTAATAAATCTGATCACTGAATATTTTATTGGCAATCTACCAGGCCCATAAAGTATAAGTTCAGATTATAATGCGTATTTTAAATAAAACATGAAATACTTTTAATTCTTGAGGTGTCTCTTTCTCAGGAGAAGTACTTCTTCTGAGCAACTCTGGGATATATGATGCTGTCAGCTTTACCAATCTGTTCTTTTACTGGTCAGATGGTCACCTCATGTGGTTCCTCTTTTATTATTTGATGTTATAAAAGGCCTAAATATGACTAGGTTTCAAAATCCAATTCTAGGATTGTTCTAGATTTACATAATTTTTATATTTGAGATTTTTCAGAATCACCTATGAAATTTGATAGGAGCATGTTTTTCAGACATTAGGATCTTTACAGCAAACAAAAATATTTAGTTATATCATAATGTCAACAAATTGTCCTAAAGTTAGAAATCACTTTAAGAATGTCTACTGTAATCCTAGGTTAGGATTAAAGTAGCACAATTTATAAAAATTCTTTTGGTTTAGCAATTTGAACAGGTCTAAATATGGCTGGTGAAAAGCAACAATTAGTAACAATTTTCATAGTTATTTTGAAGAAATAGATATGCTTGTGAAACTTTGAAAAATTGTGAAATTTAAGATATCCTGTCAACCTGAATTTGCAACTTATTTGTACATTGTCAGTTTCTGCCCATTGAGAATATGTTTTTGAGGACATTGTTGACAGCATCACACAGTGTTCCTTTTATGAGGATCCTTGGGAGAAATTTCTCTCAGGTCTCAGTACCAGAAAAAGCTGAACTTTTCCTGAGCAACTGGTTTGCTTTTATTTTATGGACACTGAGAATCTTTGTTTATAGGATTTTGTGGCATGCATTTACGAACTGATTTTACTTGCTAGCTTTATTTGTATTCTTACCTTTATTTTCTCTACTCTCTGATTTATTTATATCCTATTTATTTATATAGAAGATACCTTCATCCTCTTTTATATAATATGTTTGAATGTGTTGAGTGTGTATATGTGAGAGCATTTTTGTATATATTTATATATGCAAGCACACATATATATATGTGTGTGATTGTGTGTATATATACTTATGAGCAGCTTCAAATACTTTGTAAAACTGGGATATAGCCCTAAGCGGTTTGGCTCAATGGTTCAGCCTGCAGACTGAAAGGTCCCAGGTTCAATTCTGGTCAAGGGCATGTGCATTGGTTGCAAGCACATTCCCAGTAGGAGGTGTGCAGAAGGCAGATAATTGATGTTTCGTCAATACTTCTAATTCTATCCCTCTCCCTTACTCTATGTAAAAAATCAATAAAATATATTTTTAAAAAGGGATATAAATAGTGCAAGAATAGTTACATTACTAATTTTAGCCTTTAATCAGTGAAGAAAGTCTGTGGTTGCTTTTAAATTATTAGTCTTTTTGCAATAAAAGAACTATGCTTTTGGATCAGCATAATTAGTATTATAAATCCATTTTAAGGTTTTTTTTGTTTTGTTTTTGTTTTTAGAAAAGGGAGTCATTTATGTTTGAAAAAGATTGTGCCACTAAACTAAAGGAGAAGCAGCTCTTTAAGATATTTCCAGCCATTAACCAAAACTTTCTGGTGGACATTTTCAAAGACCACAAGTAAGTGCTAAAAGGATTATCTGTAGTTTCTACTGTGATGTCATTGAAAGCATATATTATACATTTTAATCTGATATTTTACTGATAATGAATGTAATATTGGTATATTATAAACCATTTAATGCAATGTACCTAATGTAGCAAGTGAGCAGTTTCTGGCAATTGTTTTATATACCTCCTCAATTTTTTTCACATGTAGCAATTATATGTACATGAGTACCTCTTTGCTTTTGTGTCTACAAACAAATATGTGCTTCACCAAAGAAGAGGTTGGCTTTATGTGCTATTTTGTAGTAGTTTTGCTGTATTTATTTTTCCTGTCTGTACTTAGTGATCTGCTCTTTTTTTTTTTTCTTTTTTTTTTAAGTCTACAGACTATTCCATAGTATTTATAAAGTGATTTCTTAAATTGTTATAATTTATGCATGCTCCTATTATGGACTTTTTGACTATGAGAAAATTGGAAACCATGTTGCTATACTGAGCATCCTTGAACAACATATATTTTTGTGTACATTGGTGAATGCTATTGTAGGCTGGTTCCTAAAAGTGAAATTTCTGGTTGAGAGTGTGTGCATTTAAAATTTTTACAGTTAATGCTAAATTTTTTTTGTTACAGGCTTTCTGCATTAGTTTACATGTTTCTGCCTGAAACATGTACTGATAGTGTAACCCACCTTAATAATAATAATCTTTACAATTTTTGCCATTTGGATGGGAAAAATACTGTTGTTTAAATATTTGTTTTTCTGATTATTAGTAAGGTTGAGTAATTTCACTCATTTCCTATCCTAATTGCTTGCTTTCTTTTTGTCTTTTTCTTTTTAATATATTTTATTGATTTTTTTACAGAGAGGAAGAGAGAGGGATAGAGAGTTAGAAACATCGATGAGAGAGAATCATTGACCAACTGCCTCTTGCACGCCCCCTACTGGGGATGTGCCCGCAACCAAGGTACATGCCCTTGACCTGAATCGAACCCAGGACCCTTCAGTCTGCAGGCCGACACTCTATCCACTGAGCCAAACCTGTTTCGGCTTGTCTGTTTTTCTTTTTGTTGTTTGCATTTCTATTTTTAAATTTTTTATTTATTGATTTGAGAGAGAGAAACATTGATTTGTTGTTTTATTTCTTTATGCCTTCATTGATTCTCGTATTTGCCCTGACCAAGGATTGAACCCGCAACTTTAGCATATTTGAACAACACTCTAACCAACGAAGTTACCTGGCCAGGGCCTGTAATTTTTTTTTCTAGATTTGCGAGAGCTCTTTCTATATTATTTATAGTAATTTTTGTCTGTTAACATAGATTATAATTGTTTTTTCTGCTATAATACTTATTAACCCAATAGCCACTTTGGTCATATACATATTTTATTTCTAATGTTTTATCAGAAAATATTTTTTTATTATTTCTGAGTTTTATGTCTTTTTTAGGAAGTCTGTTTTACATCCATTTAAAAAAATATATATTTTATTAATTTTTTACAGAGAGGAAGGGACAGAGATAGCTAGAAACGTCGATGAGAGAGTAACCAAGGTACATGCCCTTGACCGGAATCGAATCCGGGACCTTTCAGTCCGTAGACCGACACTCTACCGCTGAGCCAAACCAGCTTCATTCAGCTCTACACCCATTTTTATAAAAAATATTTTCTTGCTCTGGACAGGTGGCTCGGTTGGCTGGAGTGTTGTCCCATACATCAGAAAGTTGTGGGTTTGATTCCTGGTCAGGGCACATACTTAGGTTGCAGATTCGATTCCTAGTCAGATTATGGGTTCCATCCCTGGTTGAAGCTGATATGGGAGGCAACCAATCAATGTTTCTCATATTGATGTTTCTCTTCTTGTCTTCCTCTTTCTCTGAAGTCAATAAAAAGGGTCGGTTCAGTTACTGCAGTATATATTCCCGAGATGTAACTTTCTAGGGTTGTACCCTTCAAACAACATCAGTTAGTGGACACTGGCTTCCAGCTGCATAAATGGGTAAGCTGGGTGATTTTAAGGACTAGTTAGGATGTAGATAATTGCTGGTAGCTTCCAGGCCCTAAAAGCTCCTGTGTGTTGAGCATGTCTGAGACAACAAGATGAGAGAAATGTAAAGTGGAATTGGTGGTTCCAAATGATGCTCCTTCATGGGTTGTCTTTAATAAATTGAAGAATAGGAAAATAATCACATTATTTTAGATAACTAGTTATCACATTTCAAAAATATTTTTTCGTGCTTTAGTTCTTGACTATCTGGTCATTGGAAAAATCAGAGGTATTGTATAAATAATCTGAAATAATGAACAATATAAAAATCAGTTATAATTTGCTTTGGAGTGAGTTTCTTTAGATATTAGAACATGAGAATTTCAGATGTTTGTCAATTTCTAGAATTTCTTACTACAGATAATAAAATACCACCATGAAAATATGCCTGAATAATGTAGGGGTAAGAAGTAGGATAGTGTTTCACTTCTTCCTTTCTGTATCCCTGCTTAGATTTCTGTGACTAAAACCCTATTGTGTAAATAAAAAGTGAAATTCAACACAATAAAATATCACTTTAAAGATCTATTGTCTGTATTTGATATTTGAAGGATACTGAAACTATGTGTAAATCCAATAAGGGATTTAAGAAGTATTAAGTTATAAAATGAAAGATTTGTTATATATAACTAGAATAAAAGATCAGAAAATGAATTATCAATATATTCTTTTAATATTCATTTTTAAAAAATATATTTTTATTGATTTCAGAGAGTAAGAGAGAGGGAGAAGTAGACACATCAACAGTGAGAGAGAATCATTGATTGGCTACCTCCTGCATGGCTCCCACTAGGAATTGAGCCAACAACCTGAGCATGTACCTTGACCAGGAATCGAACCATGAACCATGACCTCCTGGTTCATAGGTTGATGCTCAACCACTGAGCTATGCTGGTTGGGCTATTATTCATTTTCTAAATCAGTTTTTGAGAACCTATACTTGGTAGATTCCCTCTGTCATCCTTGAGTCTTTGAGGTGCATGATGGGCATTTGCTATCTTTTTCTGAAATGTTTAAAGGATTGCTTATGTTAATGTTTTCACATAATGTTTATTTTTATCTATTGACATTATATTTGTACTTAAACTCTCTACAGCTATTCATTAGAACACACAGTGCAATTTTTAAACTGTGTTCTTGAAGGAGACCCTGTAAAAACAGTTGTAGCACAAGAGTTTGTTCACCAAAATGAGAATGCCACTTCTTATACTGGACAGAAGTCTAAGGAGAAAAAGGTATAGAATTGCTTATTTTTTACTATAATGATAAATGTATTTGAAAATATTATTGTTTTATAGAGATAATTTAATGATTATTACAATTTTGACTAGATTGGAAATTTAACCACCAATACCATATTTGGTTTAGAATGTTTTTTACTTAAAGTAATGAATTTATAGCTGATTATGATTTTTCCTTCAATGTCATTGTCATTGTGTACCACTAGCACACATGTGTCAAACACAGGGCCCGTGGGCCAAATCCGTCCCGCCAGGCCTTGCAATGTGGCCCGCACCGCGCTGTCATCACTGCACTCCGCTGCGTTTCCATCACAATGACATTTCGGCCCGCGATTTGGGCTGGATTTTAGATTTTGGCCCCTTCTCTGATTGAGTTCGACACCCCTACCTAGCACTTGAATTTCTGTAACTTTGTGTGTAGACTATACAATAGAGTATGGAGGCTTAATTGAATAGCAGTGGGATTGTAATATAGATGGGTCTTAGGCTGCAACTATGTGGGCAGAGATATTTAACCATTTGAGAAACTGCCAAACTTTCCCCCAAAGTGGCTATTTTACATTCCCACTGGCTGTGTATGAGGGTTACAATTTCTCCAAATTCTCTCTGATAACTTATTATTGTCAGTCTTTTTGATTATAGCCATCCTAGTGGGTGTAAAGTTGTTTTAAGGGTACCTGATAAGATACTAACACATGGAGATGGCATGAAGGAAGAAGTTTATTACATGCACAGTTCTCTACCAACAGGAGGTATGGCCCATCATCCAGGGCCATATGGGAAGCAGCAGGTTGGTCAGGAGCCAGAGGGAGTGTAGAAGGAAATATGGACAAGAGGCTTTTTTGTAGTTTCTGTGAGAAGGAATAGGCGAGGCAAGGTAAACAGACATAGGATTGGCTAGTTTGAATAATTTCTGTAGGCTTTGGGGCATAGGAACCATCCCTAGTTTTCTGGTACTTGGCCTGGGTGACTACAGTATGTTGGTGGTGGTCCAGAGGGTGAAGACTCCAAAATCCAAAAGGGAGTGATTGCAATGTGGACTCTAGATTGGTTGGTTTGCATATGTAAGTTGTACTAGCAGGTGAGTTATTTGTTAACCCCAGGGTTGGGGGTTGAGGGTTAGGGGGCTGTTTCTCCAAAGGTAGGCAGAACCCTAGTTGCCAAACAATCAGAATTCAGGAAATAAAAGATAGGGTTAACACAGAAGTGATTTCTCGTGATTTTGATTTTGATTTCCCTGATGACTGGTGACGTTGAACATCTCTTCATGTGCTTATTGGCCATTTGTGTATTTTCTTTAAAAAAATGTCTTATTCTTATCCTTTGTCCATTAAAAATTTAGATAAATTTATCTATCGATCTATCTATCTATCTATCTATCTATCTATCTATCTATATTATTGATATTTTACAGAGAGGAAGTGTGAGAGAGAGCTAGAAACATCGGTGAGAGAGAAACATCTACCAGCTGCCTCCTGCACACCTCCTACCAGGATGTGCCCGCAACCAATGTACATGCCCTTGACCGGAATCTAACCCGGGATCCTTCAGTCCGCAGACTGACGCTCCACCACTGAGCCCAACCAGTTTCGGCAATTAGAAAAAAATTTTTGAGGAGTTCTTCATATTAGATTCCAGTTCCTTATCAGCCAAGTAATTTGCAGAATTTTCTCCCATTCTGAGGGTTGTCTTCACTTTTTTGATGGTGTTCTTTAAATTTTGATGATTCATAATCTCTTTTCTTTTGTTGCTTGTACTTTTGGTGTTATGAAGATTTACACCTATGTTTTTTTAAGAGTCTTATAGTTTTAGTTTGCATTACTTTTAGGTCTTTGCTCTATTTTGAGTTAAATTTTGTACGTGGGTGAAGTAGGGGTCCATTTTCATTTTTTGCATGTTCATATCCATTTGTCATAGCATCACTTGTTGCAAAGATTGTTTTTTCCCAATGAATTTTCTCATCACTTTTTTTTCTTTTAATTTATATTTTATTGATTTTGTACAGAGAGGAAGGGAGAGATAGAGAGTTAGAAACATCGACGAGAGAGAGTCATCGATCAGCTGCCTCCTGCCCACCCCCTACTGGGGATATGCCCGCAACCAAGGTACTTGCCTTTGACCGGAATCGAACCCGGGACCTTTCAGTCCCTAAGCTGACGCTCTATCCATTGAGCCAAACCGGTTTCGGCTTCTCACCACTCTTGTTTGTTTTTTGCTAGACCCTCAATTTGATTCCGTTGATCTGAATATCATTGTGTCAGTGACATATTGCCTTGATATTGAAAATTAGGAAGTTAAGTTTCCAACTATATTCTTTTTTCAACATTGTTTTTGCTGTTCTGGTCTATTGCATTTCCATGTGAATTTTAGGATCAGCTTGCCAGTTTCTACAAAGAAGGTAGCTGGAATTTTTATGGGAATTGTGTTGAGTCTGTAGATCAGTTTGAGGTGTATTGCGATCCTAACAATATTGTGTTCCAATCTTTGAACATGAAATATCTTTCCATTTATTTAGGCCTTTTTTTTTAATATATTTTTTTTATTGATTTTTCACAGAGAGGAAGAGAGAGGGATAGAGAGTTAGAAACATCAATGAGAGAGAATCATCGATCAGCTGCCTCTTGCACACTCCCTACTGGGGATGTGCCTGCAACCAAGGTACATGCCCTTGCCCGGAATTGAACCCAGGATGTTTCAGTCCGCAGGCTGACGCTCTATCCACTGAGCCAAACCTGTCCCGGCTATTTAGGCCTTCTTAATACATTCAACAGGATATTGTAGTTTTGAGTATTAAGTTTTCATAACTTTTGTTAAATTTATTTTAAAATATTTTTTATTTTTTTACCTTCAAATATGAAAAGCTGTTTTTTTCTAATTTTTTTTATTTTATTCTCTTTGATGCTATTATAAATGTGATTTTTTTCTTAATTTTATTTTTGGATTGTATAAGTGCATGGAAATAGAATTGATTTTGTAAATTAATCTTGTACGTATTAGATTTAGGGTTTGTTTTTTTTTTTTTACAGACCTTTAGTATCCCACTATTCTGACTTATTGATAAGACCACTCAGGGATAACTTATGTGTTCCATTTTTTCTTTTAATATTTCATCATCACTTAGTTGATATATAGGATGTATCCAATAGCTAATTTTGATACCCATGTGATCTTGTTAATGCTGTACATGGGTAAGAACCAAGTGATACCCCTGGTGCCTGTGCTCATCATGGATAGACAGGTGCAGCGTATTATAAGGTGGAAGAGTGTATAAGATGACGATAAGGCCTTCTAGCCAAACTGGGAATAGAGGTAACCTTTCCTGGCAAGAGAGCAAGGCCCTGGGGACTATTATGGCACTATGGATCATTATGGTGATGGGAGGAAGGTGTATTGCTCAAAGCTGGAGATGATTGGGAAATGTTGGAATCAGAAAAGGAGATTTTGTGTTATGTGTAAATGTTGGCTAAAATGTAAACTTAAGTTACTTGGGAGATTATTCTTAGTCTTTCTCACAAAATGTAGTCAAGTGTCACAACACTAATAAAAACCTTCTTACATTTGTGAGAATAGACTGTCTTTGATATCCCAGGACCCTGAGGGACCACATATACTAAAGAGAAGTATCATGGTGCCAGCAATATTTTGGTTTATCTGTTTTCAAGAAACTAAAAATTTACAGCTGTGTTTTATTAATTCTACTGCTTTCCCCTTTAGCCTTTAATAAAATATATGGGCTTGTTACCATAGGAAATGGTTTTGGTATTATAGTATATCATGTTTTCAACAGAATAAATAAGTGACACTAATTAGGTGAATTCCTAGGAAGCATATATTTCAATTTCACTTGGCTCCTGCTAATGAAGTTATAGTAAACCACAGTAAAATCAAATGGGTATAAAAATAAATCTGTTTTATTTTAAAAGCGAGGCTATTTGAAAAAGCCTCTCTCATTATAGCAGTTTTTTTCCTTTAAAAAAATAAGAAATGAAGGGTCTCTTCCCAGAGAAGCAAATGTGATTTGCATTTTTTAGTATGAACACCAACTAATGCTATGAAATATTTGTGTTCATAGTGTTTGCCATTCCGGGCTTTGAAAAGTCATGTAAAGCGTTTTTATTATCCTCCTCTCTGCAAAATTTTTGATTTTATCAGAGATGCCAGCCATACCCTCATAAAATATTTAAACATTAATCTGTAACCAGCTTGTGATTAAGTATTGGCAAGAGTGACATTAGGATGTTGGTCCTATGAATATTCTATGCCAGAGAGAGCCTTGTGCTCTTTTGTAAAATAAATTGAAAATTTGTTAAAAAAATAAATTGACTGCATATTTATAGATTTTTGACCCTGGTAATGAATTAGAAATATGATGATGCCTTTATTTTATTTTTCTCTCTCTTTTTAACCCTTTGCACTCCGCTGTCCCCTCTCAGGGGGGACATTGCAGTTTATTAGTGATTACGGGGAATTGAGTTAATTCAATGCATGTGTCCGCTGCAAAGTAGCGTCGAGTAGCTGGTAGCCAATGTCCAGAATGGTTCGGAGTGCAAAGGGTTAAATTTATTTTCTATAACTCAAGCCTCTAGTATTCTAGGGGCCAAGTAAGCAAAATGTAATAAGTGAAAAATTATACAACCAACTATCAAAGGTTTTTTTCTCAACTTTTCTTGGCTTCTGAACTCCATTCACAGGCAAAAAGTTATTCTTTATAATAATATATATTAAATTTTATTACATAAAACCCTTAATTGGCATTTATTAAAGATCGTCTTATAGGGAACATTATAATTACAATCCTTCATAGTATTTCTAATTTAATGACAGTTTTTAGCTTTTGGAAATTTAACAAGTAAACTGATTTCTTTTGAATTATTATATCAGAAAAACATTTGTTTTTTAAAAAAATTGAAATTTATATTTTTTTTGGGGGGGGGATTTTGCTTTTTAGTGTTCATAAAATGTATGTCACCCGATACTTGTGATTCTTTTAAGGTTTTAAGAAAATCAACTCAATTATAGTGATTAAACCTCTCCCCCAAACCTCACTCCAATTACATACTAAGCTAAGGAACATCAGATTTCTGCTTGCAATTAATATTTTGGGGAGTGGGTAAATAAATGAAAGTCAAATTGGATATAGAAGTCACAATATTGTGCTGTTTTTAAATATTGACTTTGGTATTTTAGAGACATCTGGATGTGTACTGTATAAGAATTTTCTTCAGAAAAAATGGAATTTTCTATTTGGTGGCAAGCATTAAGGCACATTTGCGTAATTATTATTTCCATTACCTTGTGTTTTAACTTAGAGTTACTTTTCCTTCTTTAAATATAAGGTCTATTCTGCCGAGACCGGTTTGGCTCAGTGGATAGAGCGTTGGCCTGCGGACTGAAAGATCCCAGGTTCGATTCTGGTCAAGGGCATGTACCGTGGTTGTGGGCACATCCCTGGTGGGGGTTGTGCAAGAGGCAGCTGGTCGATGATTCTCTCTCATCGATGTTTCTAACTCTCTATCCCTCTCTCTTTCTCTCTGTAAAAAATCAATAAAATATATTTTAAAAAATATATAAGGTCTATTCTGGATAGCAATGACATGAAAGATGATTTTCCAAAAGCTCAGAAAATCAACACTACCATAGCATCTAGTTGGGGGTCAACTGATTAAAAATTGCTCCTAAAGCCAAAACTGGTTTGGCTCAGTGGATAGAGCGTTGGCCTGCGGACTGAAAGGTCTCGAGTTCAATTCTGGTCAAGGGCATATACCTTGGTTGCGGGCACATCTCCAGTAGGGGTTGTGTAGGAGGCAGCTGATCGATGCTTCTTTCTCATAGATGTTCCTTCTCTCTTCCTCTCTGTAGAAAATCAATAAAATATATTTTTAAAAATTGTTCCTATAAAACCACTTATGATTTTTACTACCTACTAGGCATGGTCACCCCACATGCCCTTCTCTTTTAAAAAGAATATAATTTAATTATTTTTTTAGTTTAAAAAAATTTATTGGGGTGATAATTGGTTACTAAAATTAGGAAGGTTTCAAGTTGCAATTCTATAATACATCACCTATATATTGCATTGTTGGTTTATCAGCCAAAGTCAAATCTCCTGTCATTATATATTTGAGACCCCTTTTACCCTTTACTACGCCCCAACCCTTTTCCTCTGGTATAGGGTGGGGAGTAGTAAAATAAACTGAACATTTGTTACACCCTATTGTCTGTATATGAGTTTTTGTTTGTTCATTTGTTGCTTTTAGTTTTATGTCCCATATGAGTGAAATCATGGTTCTTGATTTTTTTTTTTTTTTAAATCTGATGTGTCTTGCTTAGCACGATATTCTCAACTAGAGGCCCGGTGCACAAAATTTGTGCACAGGTATGGTCCCTAGCCTGGCCTGTGATCAGGGCCATCCTCCCCAGCTGCCCACAGCCGGCTCTGTCCCCCTGCTGCCACCCACCCCTGGTTCCCTGTTCGCCATCAGGTGATCAGTGCCTGATGGCCAGGGGAAGGGACTTAGAGGTCAGCTGTTCCCGCCCACTTGCTGGCCCTGCCCCCACCGCAGTTAGCCATCAGGCAGTCGGAGCCTGCTGGTCGGGGAAAGGGACCAAGAGATGGTCAATGTGCTTCATAGTGACTGATCCAGCAGTAGTTCTGGCCATTCTGCCATTAGGGTCAATTTTCATATTACCTTTTTATTATATAGAATATCCAACCATGTTGTCCCAAATTGGCAGTATTTCATCTTTTATGTACTACCTCTTTAGTCATCTGTCAAAGGACAGACACTTTGGTTGCTTCCATGTCTTGGCTACTGTGAATAATACTGAGTAAACATGGGAATACATATGTTTTTATGAATAAATATTTTTAAATTTTGGAGGGTAGATACCCAGAAGAGGGATTTCTGGGTTATATTCTTAATCATTTTTTTTTTTTTTGGGGGGGGGGGGAGATCCACCATAGTGTTTTCCATAGTGGTTGTACCCATTTTCATTCTCTTGTAAATTCCTTTTTCCCCAAAACCTCTGCAATGCTTGTTACTTATCTTGTTGATAATAGTCATCTAACAGGTGATATCTCATTGTGGTTTTGAGTTGAATTTTCCTAATAGCTAGTGAAGTTGAGCATCTTTTCATATAGTGTTGGCTGTTTGTATGGACAAGGGTTGTTTCAGGTCCTATGCTCATTTTTTGAAGATTATTTTGTTGAATTGAAATATGCCACTACAAAAAGTATGAGTTACCTGCCATTCCTACTTTCAATGACTGGACCCTTTGAATGGGTTCACAAATTAAAATTTGAAAAATTTTGCTTTAGTCAATAAGTACATGACTAACTAGACACTGGAGAGAATTCTTTGTGTGAGAAGAAAGGTGAAAAATAGTAGAGCCTAGTTTTCATATATATTTTTGTGAAAGTAAAGCCTATATTTTCAACTTTCTTTGTATTGTACTTATTGGATAACGCATCTTATAGGCAAAGAAATCGAAGGAGACTGAAGATACACTGAGTGAATCAACCTTCCAGGATTTTGAGTACCCTAAGTATGACGACTACAGGGCGGAGGCTTTCCTGCACCAGCAGAAGAGGATGGAATGCTACCGCAAGGCCAAAGAGGCTTATCGGATAGGGAAGAAAAATGTTGCCACATTTTATGCCCAGCAGGTAGAGAGGAAAACTAGTCTTTGTTTTTTTTCTTTGTCACTTATGATGTAGATAATACTTGTATTGTGATGAGATTAAGCTATTCTGGGAATGTAGATTATGTAAGAGACATAAAGGTTTCTTGATATATAAGAAATGTATGGTTCTGAGACTTTTCATTTCCTTTGAAATACTCAGTTTCTGTGGTTGCTATTGCATTCACAGCTTACACGAACTGCAGTTTATTCTGATAGTATTTTCTTTTAGGTTAATTCCCCGATTCAGTACTGCTTCTAAACAGATACAGATCTTCTGGAGCAATGACAGCAGAATGTTAACATTGGCCATCTCAAGGAGGGATCACAGGGGCCTTGTGCTTTAAGTCATGTTTGAATTTTTAATAATGTATCACTTTTATAATCAGAAAAATAAAGTTACATTACTATCTTTCAGAGAAGTAAAATTTCACTTGGCATAGCATTACAAAAAATCTGCCTGATTTACTTTTTTTTTTTTTTTTAATTATTGATTTCAGAGGGGAATGGAGAGGGAGAGATAGAAACACCCTATGTAATAAAAGGGTAATATGCAAATCAACCGAACAGTGGAATGATCAGCTGCTATGACATGCACTGAGCACCAGGGGGCAAGTGCTCAATCTAGAAGCTGCCCTCTGGTGGTCAGTGTGCTCAGCCAGAAGCCCAACGGCGGTGGCAGGAGCCTCGCCCACCTCTGTGGCAGTTGGACATCCTCTGAGTGCTCTCGGATTGCAAAAGGGCGCAGGCTGGGGCTGAGGGACCGACTCCTACCCCACTAAGCCCCCGAGTGCATGAATTTCGTATACCGAGCCTCTAGTCAGTGATAAGAGAGAATCATTGATTGGCTGCCTCCTGCACACCTCTATTGGGGATCGAACCTGCAACCTGGGCATGTGCCCTTGGCCAGAACCTCACCTGGGGACCCTTCAGTCCATAAGGCAGTGCTCTATCCACTGAGCCAAACAGCTGTGATTTACCTTTTATTTTTGTGGTTCCATATGGCTTACTTTTTTTGTGATTGAGCAGAGAAATGCATCAAGCTGGTATAATCCTGTGAGCCCTAATAGCAAACCTTGAGAGATGGCTTCAGGGTTAATTACAAGGTGATGAAAGGGATGAGACTTGGGATTATCAAAGGATAAATCAATGGATTCCTTCTTGAGATGGATGGTGTTTAAATTTTGGTGCATTCTTACATATTAGCTCATTGCATTAAAAACAATTTTCAGTGAGCTGTTTTCTTTTTTTGTTCTACCTTTTATATGGTCCACTATTTATTTCCTCATTGCCTACCAAGTAACAAGTATTACAAGTGTTGACTAGTCCTGTGTTTATAATTAAAGGGTAGCCTCCATGAGCAGAAGATGAAGGAAGCTAATCACCTTGCTGCTGTAGAGATCTTTGAGAAAGTCAACGCCTCCCTGCTGCCGCAGAATGTTTTGGACCTCCATGGACTGCATGTGGATGAAGCTATAGAACATCTGATGGCAGTTTTACAGCAGAAGATTGAAGGTAGGACTGTGAAAATGACAAATCTTCAATTCAAAACAAGTCTTTGCTCATATTGGTATAAATTACAAATTCAGGAGGATATATGTGCCACATTTATAGGCTCTTTCTTCAAGAGAACCTTCTTGGGGAAGAATTGTCATGGGCATGGCCACTAACAGTTTCTTTTTTACTTCTCTGTTTTACTTATATTTGTATTTCTTTGATGTGTTTGTTAAAGGAAGGGCACAGTGTAATCTGGGAATCCTGAGACTTATAAGTGGGACCTTTCAGAAATATTATACATCTTTGTTCAATAGACATTTATTAAAGCTAATAGGTATTTCTTACATGTCAGTTGTTCAATAGGTGTTTAATAAAATACAGAAGTAAATGAGGTGATAGAATTTTTACAGAATTCTCACAAAAGCCAGGATTTCTGAGAGTTTGCATGATGGTGGTGGTTTTCCCTTTTTGCTTGCACTTTGTCTCTGCAGGTCACTACCTGCCTCTTCTCTAAATTCTGCCTCTTCCCAGGGCTTCGGATGAGGATCTTTTTCATGTTCCCACTTAACATCATACAGTTCACATACATTAAAGTATGTTGTTGGTTTAGATTCTTGTTTCTTTTTCATAATCAGATGGTAGCACTTAAAAAAATTCCATCTGTTTTAGTTACCTTGGACTTCAATAGTAGATGCCATCTCCTTTCATTAATAGAATAGTATTTTTGCCGAAACCGGTTTGGCTCAGTGGATAGAGCATCGGTCTGCGGACTCAAGGGTCCCAGGTTCAATTCCTATCAAGGGCATGTACATTGGTTGCAGGCACATCCCTGGTGGGGGGTGTGCAGGAGGCAGCTGGTTGATGTATCTCTCTCATCAATGTTTCTGGCTCTCTATCCTTCTCCCTTCCTCTCTGTGAAAAATCAATAAAATATATTTTAAAAAAATAGAATAGTATTTTTGAATTCTTAACTTGGCTTTTTCTTTATCTTCCTTTTTATTGTGAAGTCTTAGCTCTTACTTTGTGGCTCTATAGCCCTGCTTTGTCATTTATAGCTTCATTGTTCTGCTTAATTGGTTTATATATATTTTAGAAACCTTTACCCCCTATACTTTATATAGGTATATCATTTCAACACATATCACTGGTAAATAAATACTCGATTAAATATGACTGAATGACTGATATAAAAGATTGATACTTACGACTTTGTACACTGTTCTACAATATTTTGCCTAATTTTAATATCTGTTTATAATCCTTAACTAAATCAGTTATATTAGTGATTGTTTACGGTGAGGAGGGAGAGAGGGAGGGAAGGAGGGAAAGAGAAACATTAAAATGTTGTTTTTCCTTGAGCAGGAAATGAGCCAAGCTGGCCAGGGCTGCTTATGGTGTTTTATAATTTGTGTCCATTCTGTGTTTACTAGAGGCCCGGTGCATGAAATTTATGCATTGTGGGGGGTGGGGGAGGGGTTTCCCTCATCCCAGCCTGCACCTTCTTGTAGTCTGGGACCACTGGCTCCTCACTGCTCACCCGTCTGCCCAGTCACCCCTAACTGCCTCTGCCTGCCTGCCTTATAGCCCCTAAATGCTCTCCCCTGCCGGCCTGATCTCATCCCCTAACTGCCCCCCCTGCAGGCCTGATCTCGCCCCCCAACTGCCCACCGCTGCTAGCCAATTTGGTTATGATTGGTCGGTTTCTATGCCAGTCAGCATCAGAAGTTCCGCCAGCTAGGCAGCCATTGGCTCCCCATAGCACCCAGATTTGGTTCTGATTGGTTGATTTCTATGCTAATCAGTATCAGAAGCTCCACCACCTAGGCAGCCATTGGCTCCCCACAGCACCAACATTTGGTTCTGATTGGTTGGTTTTTATGCCAGTCAGCATTTCTGGGCCTGTTTCTGGACCTGATGAGGGAGGCGGGGCTGATCAGCAGCCCCCAAAGAGGCCTGGAGAGAAAGAGAGAGGCAAGGGCTGATGAACAGCTGCCACTGAGGCTATGGATCAGACCCTACTTCTCTCTCTCTCGGCCTGATCCGCAGCCCTCTCAGCAGTCAGTGCTGGATTGCCAGGGCAACCCAGCACTGGCTGTAGAACTGACTTCTGGTGTTTGATTGAGTCTTCAGTCATTACTGACACTGCCTTTTTACATATATAGATATTCTGTCTAGAGCTGTGGTCAGCAAACTGGCTCGTGAGCCACATGCCACTCTTTGGCCTCTTGAATGTGGCTCTTCCACAAAATACCATGGCCTGGGCAAGTCTATTTTGAAGAAGTGGCATTAGAAGAAGTTTAAGTTTAAAAAATTTCAATCATTGGATTATGGATATTTAGCTCTATTGACTAATGAATTTGCCCACCACTGGTCTAGAAGATGAATAAATCATTTAATAAATTTGATTATTATCTATATTCTATGCATCAAGGATAAAGCAGTGAAAATGATAAAGACTGTTTCTATAGATTTTGCCTTCTATTAGGGCAGATGATAATGGACAAATCCTATCTAATAAAAGAGTAATATGCAGATTGATCATCACTCCAACACACAAGATGGCTGCCCCCATGTGGTCAAAGATCCTTCCCCCATGTCGACACAAGATGGTCAGCAGGAGAGGGCAGTTGGGAGGGACCAGGCTTGTAAGGGAGGCAGTTGTGGGTGATCACGCAAGCAGGGGAGGCAGTTGGGAGGCACTAGGCCTGCAGGGGAGGGCAGTTGAAAGGGACCAGGCCTGCAAGGGAGGGTAGTTGGGGGTGACCAGGCCGGCACAGGAGGGAAGTTGGGGGCAAAAAGGCTGGCAGGGGAGCAGTTAGACATCAATCAGGCTGGCATGGGAGTGATCAGGCTGTCAGGCAGAAGCGGTTAGGGGCAATCAGGAAGGCAGGCGGGCAGGAGAGCAGTTGGGAGCCAGCAGTCCTGGATTGTGAGAGGGATGTCCGACTGCCCGTTTAGGCCCGATCCTGGTAGGATCTGATTTAACCAGGCAGTTGGACATCCCTCAAGGGGTCCCAGATTGGAGAGGGTGAATGCTGGGCTGAGGGACATTCTTTCCCCCTTCCCTCCCCCCGCACGAATTTCGTGCATTGGGCCTCTAGTAGTTACATAAATAGTTAGGATTGTGATAAGAAAGTACAGGTTGCCATGTTTCATTTTACATACTTTCCCAAAACCCTATATAATCTGTTCCTTGCCTGCCTCTCCTTTTCTGTATGTTTATCTACACTTTCATTTCTTGGGCAAAGTTAGGCTCCCCATTAATAACCTCTCGTAGTATTCCTGTGTATTACAATATTTGTAAAAAAGCTTATTGTATAAATTATTAAATGCCTTTCTGGCCTAGAATTGAGACAGTGATATTATTGACCTAACATTTGTATATAGAGCCTTTTCAATATTCAAAAATACTTTTGAATAAATGACTGAATAAAGGGTAGGTATTCCTCATTTTGTAGATGAGGACACAGATTTTTAAAGTTTATAATAAGTGTTTGTAAGAACGTGGAGAATTGCAAAACTCATATATTGCTAGTGGGAATGTTAAATGGTGCAACCACTATGGAAAGGTTGGCATTCTTCCAAAGGTTAAACATAGAATTACCATATGTCCCAGCAGTTCTGCTCTTAGAGAATTGAAAACAATCCAGTCACACAAAAATTTGTACATGGGCTGAAATCGGTTTGGCTCAATGGATAGAGCATTGGCCTGCGGACTGGGGGGTCTCAGGTTCGATTCCCGTCAAGAGGATGTGCCTTAGTTGTGGGCACATCCCCAGTAGGGAGTGTGCAGGAGGCAGCTGATCGATGTCTCTCTCTCTCATCGATGTTTCTAACTCTCTATCACTCTCCCTTCCTCTTTGTAAAAAAAAAATAAATAAAATAAATAAAATAAATTATGTTAAAAAAAAGAAAAAGAAAAAAAAATTTGTACATGAATGTTCTTAATAGCCAAAAAGTGAAAACAACCGAAATGTCCATCAACTAATGATTGGGCAAACAAATGTGCAATATTCACGCAGAGGAATATTATTCAGCCATAAAAAGGAGTCAAGAACTGATGCATACTACAAAATGGACGAACCTTATAGACATTGTGCTAAATGAAAAAAGCTAGATATAAAAGGTCACATATTTATATGATTTCCATTTAGATGAAATTCCCAGAACAGGCAAATCCACAGAAGCAGAAAGTACATTAGTGATTGCTAGAAAGGAGAAAAAGGGTGGAATAGGGAATGACTGCTAACAGCTCTACAATTTCTTTTTGAGAAGATGGAATATTCTGGAATTAGATGGTGTTGATATTGCACATAATTAGAATATACTAAAATCACTGATTTGTACATTTTAAAATTGAAATTTTTATATTATGTGAATTTTATAGCAATACAAAAATTACAAGAAAAATAGGAGTTATATAACTTATATAAATACTTGATAGATACTTACTTGGTCAGACCCAAGATCCAAACTCTTTCTGGAAGCCAAGGCCCATTTTGCTGCCACCTGTGGTGACCTGTAGTTACTGCAGTTACCACCAGGTGGTGATATTGTTGAATAGAATCGTGTCCACGGGAAAATCTGTGGCTCTGCCCTGCATTGCTTTGTCATAAAAGATGATTGTCAGAATTAAGAGTAAAAAAAAAAAAGATATCTGACCCTTCTGTCTTCATGATTGAAATATACACCACCACCACCCATGAAGTATTTTTGTCCCCAAATAAACCAGAAACAAAGCCTTTAGATCTCACAACTACTTCACAGGGATTTATAGGGATCATAGAAACGTGTTAAATGGCACCATGGAGATACAGTCAGTAAAACCCAGACTGGAAATCTAGGATAAATGATCCAATTTTTCCAGCAAATTTCAAAGAAAAACACAATGGGAGGGAGAACCTTTTTTTTTTTTTAATTTCAGAGAGGAAGGGCGAGGGAGAGAGATAGGAACATCAATGATGAAATTCCCAGAACATCATTGATCAGCTGCTGCTTGCACACAATCCGGGCATGTGCCCTGACTGGGAGTGAACCATGACCTTCTGGCTCATAAGTTTACACTCAACCATTGAGCCAAGCCAGTCGGGTAAGGGGGGCAGAGAGAGGATCTTTAGATTAAAAGTTCCTTAAAAAATATATCAACCAAATACAATGTATAGACTTGTTTTAACCTTGATTCAAACAAATCCCTGTAAAAATAGTTTCTGTGACTGAGGATATTTTTAGAATAATGATATTAAGGAAGTATTTTTAATTTTGCAAGATATTGGTGACATATTGGTTATGTTTTTTAAGGTTTTTTTAAAATACTGAAATATTTGCAATTGAAGTGATAAGTAATTTAGCATATGCTTAAAAATGAGTTAGTTTTTTAAAAGGTGGTAAACATCAGGAATAACCTGAAATTTGTGAACATATACCAGTACATTAATTCATTCAACAAACATCTTCGAACACTTTATTTGAGGCATGTGATTCAAATAAACAGTGTTTTCAGAGCAGTAAGTAAACTACTGAAAGAGGGGATTGGTATAAATGACCGCCCTAACTGATGAGAGGAGCAGTAGTAAAGGAGTGATGAGTGAGTTACAGCTAGTTAAGTAGTGAAGGAATGGTGAAAGTAAATTATACTTAGTTAAGCAGTGAAAGAATGGTGAGAGTGAACAAGTGTTAAGTAGTGAAGGAAAATAAGACAGTGTCTTATATTAATTTTTTCTCCCAAAGTTGTGCTAGGTCTTATTTTCAGGTGATGTCTTATCTTTCTATGCGCTAGGTCTTATTTTCAGGTGATGTCTTATCTTTCCATGCGCTAGGTCTTATTTTCGGAGGATTTCTTATTTTTGGGGAAACACGGTAGTTAAGTAGTGAAGGAATGGTGAAAGTGAATTATAGTTAAGTAGTGAAGGAGTGGTGAATTATACTTAGTTAAGCAGTGAAGGAGTGGTGAGAGTGAATTAGTTAAGAGATTCAAGTTTTGTTTTTTAAAATTCTTTCACCCAAGGATATTTTTCCATTGATTTTAAGACAAAGTGGAAGGGAAAAAGGGAGTGGGGAGGAGAGAGATGAAAGAGACATGTCGATTGGTTGCCTCCCTCATGTGACCTGAAGGAGGCCAAGGATTGATCCTGCAATTGAGGTGTGAGTCCTTGACCAGGAATTGAACCTATGATCCTTTGGTCTGCTGGCCAGAGCTCTAATCACTGAGAAAACCAGCCAGGATGAGACTCAAGTTCTCTTAAAAGCAAACTTTTATTTGTAATATCACACCCATAAGTAAAAATGCACAAATAATAATTGTATGGTACATAAACTTTTTACAAAGTAAATACCCTTGTATAGCCAGAACGCAGCTCAGTTGAATTTTGAATAAAATATTGCTTGAAGTATTAGATATAGCTTAAAGTAGAAATGGAGATCTTAAGCAAAGAAGGAATTAAAACTGCAAGAGAAACATGTCCTCTTAAAATTCCAGGCCAATTATTGCCCTGGAGACATGGAACTTGAAAAACCATCTGCTGTGGATCTGCTGGAGTCTTAGGGCAACTGTTTAAAGTAGGGGTGTCGAACTCAATCAGAGAAGGGGCCAAAATCTAAAATCCAGCCTAAATCGCGGGCCGAATGGTTTACTGAACAGTCATAAACTGTCATTGTGATGGAAACGCAGCGGAGTGCAGTGATGACAGCGCGGTGCGGGCCACATTGCAAGGCCTGGCGGGACGGATTTGGCCCGCGGGCCTTGTGTTTGACACATGTGGTTTAAAGCATTACAAATAGTAGTAATATATCTCCTTTTTCCCTCCCTTGATCTCCCCACAGCCTCCCCTACCCCCCTGTTTATGCCTCCCCCCCCCCCCCCCCCAATGTCTTGTATCCATTGGTTATGTTTATAATCTTAGGGCAACTTGACAAGCAGAATATGGAATGTTTTTATTGTATGTATATGTATTTTATGCTAAAAGTAAAAACTTGTGCTATTTATAACTGAGGAACAAGTATTTATTAAATTCATTACCGTAAGTCAACTCTTATTAACATGCTTTTAGAATTTTATTGTAGCTATTATTGACTTTCAGGATTTACATATCTGATTTTCTCAAGATCATTGCCAGAGTAGGAGCGGCGTCTTCTAAGAATCGCAGGTTCACTCAATATTTAAAAGTCACCTATTTGGAAGAAATTCTGAAGTTAATAATTATCTTTTAACAGACTGCAGTCTATGTTATATATTTAGTGGGTTTGTTGTAGCCATTTCTGAGGGGGATACTTTTTAAAGTACTTGCTTTATGTCCCTCTTTACTGATGAGGAAACAAGCACAGATAGGCTAAGTAACTTGTCTGAGGTCATAACACTCAGTCACTAATGGCAGAGCAGCTAATTAGGCCAAAGCTGACTGGCTTCTGAGCATTTACCGTAACTTATGGGGTTGTTGTGAAGATTCTTAGTAATTGTAAATCACTTCAAGCAATGTCTGATTCCAGGGGTGTAATAATTTTTAGGTATCATATTGTAATTATTGTTATTTCAGAGAGATATTTTGATAGCACAAGGAAATCTCCTTTGCCACAGGGGAAAACGTTTCACTTTAGTTTTTAGGCACATGAATGGCTTATAAGGCTTCCATACTTCAACGGTGTAGATAAAACTTATATTTAAAAATATCAGTTCTAAACTGATGAACAAAAAGATAGATACAGAGACAGTAAAGCAACAAACAGACTGTCAAATTACAGTGGGGAGGGGAGGGAGATATGGGGGAGATAAGAGATCAACCAAAAGACTAGTATGCATGCATATAAGCATAACCAATGGACGCAAAACTCTGGGGAGGGAGGGCATGTATGGGAGTGGGGGGGAATTGTTAAGATATGTACACATGTAATACCTTAATTAAAAAAACAAAAACAAAAAAATATATATAATTTCTGGGTTTTTTAAAGTAATGACTCTGTGAATCCTCATGAAAATAATTTCGCATGTGTTTTGAATAGTTCACACTTGTTTTCTGTTGAGAATGTAATTTAAATTATTTGAACTATTCCAATTCCTTTTGTAACAGAATTTAAGCAGAATGGTGGCAAACCCTATCTGTCTGTGATTACGGGGAGAGGCAATCACAGTCAGGGAGGAGTAGCTCGTATCAAGCCAGCTGTCATTAAATACCTCACAAGCCATAGCTTCAGGTGAGTATAAATTGCTGTTACTGGTAATTGACAATTACCCATAGCTATAAATAGTAAACACTTAAGAGTGTGCCCAGAACGGTATGTTAAAGTAGTTAACTAAATTTGATCATCTGGTTTTAGCTACAGTCATGCTTAAATTATAATTCCCTGCTGGATTTATGATGTCCAGTAAACCAGAAAAGAAAGAAAAATGTATTTGTTATTGAAGTAATCAGTCATCTGACAAAATTATTTTTGTTATAAATTTAAAATCTTGCTGAAACTGGTTTGGCTCAGTGGATAGAGCGTCGGCCTGCGGGCTGAAAGGTCCCAGGTTCAGTTCCGGTCAAGGACATGTACGTTGGTTGCTGGCACATCCCCAGTAGGGGGCGTGCAGGAGGCAGCTGATTGATGTTTCTCTCTATTGATGTTTCTAACTCTATCTCTCTCCCTTCCTCTCCGTAAAAAAAAAAATCAAAAAAAAATCAATAAAATATATTAAAAAAATAAATTTAAAATCTAAAAGAAAGTAATAATATTTGTATTTCTTTGATAATGTATTATCCAAGATAATTAGGTTACACATATAATAGTTTAAGATTGCTGTTTAATTATCCTTTTGAAAGTAGATGTATTTTGGAAAGAATTAGAAGTTTCTCCTGAAATGTGGTTATAATTTAGATGTGTTTAAGTATTAGCAGAAACACTATAGTCATTGTGAATTTATACATCTTTATAAGTTAAATGGTATTAATGATCTTAGCTGACAAATATGAACTGTTCTTCTTTATTAAGTGATTATCATTCTGCAACAGAAAGCAACAATAAAAAAAAGTCTAAGAATAAAGATCTGTTGATAGATTCCCTGAGGATATATCTCATTAAGTAGCCTTCTCTCCCTACTACTAATTTCAGTTAGTAAAGCATATTTTTTATGCCATGTAACAAATGTTGTTTAGTTACATTTTAGAAAATGGTAGTGTTTTGAGCATAAAAAGATGACGTTATAGTTACTTTTATAAAACCAGAACATTATCACATTGGGATTAATGAACTATTTTAGAGACAAGATTTTTTGTTTGTTTGTTTGTTTTTAAATTTCACACCGAGGGAGTTAGAACCATTTAATGACCTGATGAATCAAACTTACCTATTAGATTTCTTCTTGTTACACAAAGCATAGAAATAATAAAATGTAGACATTATCTTATACTTGATATAGTATGCTCTTCTTCATGAAAGTCAAATTCAGACTTGAGAGTTTTGATAAATCTTAAATTGTTATAACTATTAAGTTAGGAGTAAACCCTAGCCTTAGGATTGTATTTATTTTGACAACAGATTAAAAGGAACATAAGCATAGATACTGATCCTGGTTATTGAGGATACTTTGATAGTAAATATATTTGATGCTAGAAGCTCAATGCACAAAATTCATGAACTGGGTGTTGAGGGAAGTGTCCCTTAGCTGGTCTGCACCCTCGCAGTCCAGGAGCCTTTGAGGGATGTCTCACTGATGGCTTAGGCCTGTTCCCTGTCTCCACCACTGCCACTGTGCTTGCTAGCCATGAGCCCGGCTTCTGGCTGAGCTGTGCACCCTTGTGGAAGTGCAATGACCACCAGGGGCAGCTCCTGCATTGAGTGTCTGCTCCCTGGTGGTCAGTGCATACCATAGTGACTGGTGGTTCTGCCATTGGGTCAAAATTGGCTCTCTGACGTCCCCTGAGAGATCCCGGATTACAAGAGGGTGTAGGCCAGGGCACGGGACCCCACCAGTGCATGATTGACTGGTCGACCAGTCAACTGCCTTCCCCCTGGTGGTCAGTGTACATCATAACAAGCAGTTGAGCAGCCTTAGCACATCATTATTAGCATATATGTTTTCATTGGCTGAATGGCCAACTGGACGACTGGACACTTAGCACATTAGGCTTTTATTACATGGGATAGGCCTTTGGAATTGATTATAATATACATTTCTTACCTAGTTAGAAATTTTTATCTTTAAAATTACTCTTCTCATTTTTGCAGGTTCTCTGAAATTAAACCAGGGTGCTTGAAGGTCATGCTAAAGTAAAATAAACATCCTTGACTTTGAAGTGTGAAGGTTTGTAGGTTAAAATTAATTTTATTTGCAGTAATTTAGTCAATTTTACTATCAACATGTGTTTTATTAGAAATAATGTCCAGTTATAAAACAAAATGTGATGATGTTTTTTAAAATACAAGAGTTTAATTTTTTATTGAATTATATGCCAAATATGTTAAAATATTAAAGATAATTTTCTTAGATAAAATTATTAGATCCAGTTTTAAAGTTTGAAAGTGCACAGATTCTTTCTAAAAGAGAATTTATCTTTCTATTAATTGTTTGATGTTTAGTGAAGGTCTAATATCTATGAGAGGCATTTAAGTGCTTTGAGACTTGGTTCATGCCTCAAAGCCTAGTGTTAAAAAAACACACAGTAATAGTAATGAAAGAAAGGAGAGCTAATAAAAACACTTGAATGCTTTTTTATTTCAGAACAAAATTTAAAAAAACTTGTTATTTTGCTATATCCTATTGGAAGGAAGACATGTTGTTGTGCTTTCTTCTGCTTTGTATTTGTATATGGTTTTGATCTCTTAACCTTCTGTTTCTTTTTTCTGCGTGTGGGCATTTCCAGGAGGAAAGTTGGGGTCTGAGATTTTATTGCGGTTTTATACCTTCCAAAGGCAGGACATTTTCAGAGGAGAAGTGGTTAGATATCTACCAAATGTTGCCGTCATATAGAACTGCTTCTAGAACCGTGTAAGTGGTATTTAAGATAGTTCTGAAGAGCCGTCTTTTATATTTGAGGTGTGTATTTTCTAGGCTGCAGTAAGGTCAAAATTCAGTTAACTTAAAAACAAATATAGAAAACATTTTTGATATAAGTATAAAAAGAATCACTACAATTTAAAAGTTTTTAACTTTTTAAAAAGAGCCAACTTCCTGGAAGAAAACCTTCACTGGTTTCTGTGTTTTGGTCAGCTAAAAAGTCCGGTTAGTGTGTTAAAGTATGTCAATACAAGTTTAATGTGGTAAAGTTTAATTTCCCAGTATGAGAGTGTGGTTTAAATAAATTTGACTTTGGATATGGAGAATACTTTTCAACATAAAATTTTAACAATTGTGTTGCTCTTTGACAAGCTTAAAAAATCATTTGGATCAGGAATTAGAGGATTGAACTGTTACTGAAAGAACCCTCTATTACAGAAGGGTTTCCTAAAATAACACATATTAATGAAAATAGAACTCAAAAACACACTTTTATATACCATGAAAGCATGCTTTTAAAAGAAGAGCTGTGTTGTTGAATTTATTTCCACAAAAATAAAAATATGTTTATTATTTAGAAATGGTTAGTAACTAATAATTGTATTATTCATATTCTATGTTTGTAATAACTTGTTAAAAAAAGAAAAAATGCCAGCAGTTTAGCAAATGTTTTTAGTAATATCTAGAAGAGTTATATACATTAAAAATAAAACAGTTCATTTCAATTGTTAATGATATAAAGTATTTTTAAGTATAAATTAATATGATGTAAGAAATGTGATTAACAATACTAAAACCTAGAGTTATTCAAGTGTGTAGCTGCATATTCTGTGTTTTTATATTTCCACACCCAGTTTAAAAATTGCTTTTGAGCACTTCAGCTAAACTTATTTTAATAATATTATAATTATCCTTAATGTGGGAGCAGTCAAAAAGGACAAGAGGTGAGGTGTTTTGTGGCAAAAACCAAATGAAAGAAGTTTTGTTTTATGTTGTCAACTTTAATGTACTTTATTTTGCTAAACCTAGGGTATTTCTCCTTAATCATCATTCATAAATATATAGTCACATTTTAAGCATCATATGTATTTTTGTAAAGCTGTTTAATGCTATACTGCTGCCTACCCCACTGTCTAGCATAGTTTAAGCAACGCATAATTATGAAAAAATTTTTATAATCGTTCCTTGTTTTGCCCATTTTTAAATCCTATGTATCAAAAGTAAAGATAGTGTAGGGATTTTCAAAGTTTTTATGTGTTGGTATATTTGTGCTAGTACATTATTCATTAGGTTGGCTCTTTGCAGAAGTACTAATATATTAAAAGTGCAACACTTGTGTAGTTTGGAAGGTTTTAGTAACAGTTCTATCTTTCAGTAGTCTCTTATCCCAGTACCTACCAGGGGGAAAAGAGAACAATGTGGAAACCACAGTGAACATGCAGCTGGACTGAGGAGACCCTTAACAGTATTTTAATCCATCCACTTCTTGCTTGCACCTGAGAAATGGAAGCATGTTATTTTTTATTTTTTATTTATTAGCTGTTCATATATGCCTATGTTATTTTCAGATTGAGTTATGTTTCCAATTTATTAGTGTTTTCTTTTATGTTATTTGCAATTCTATGGCCTTTGAATATAGGATATATTATATAGTAGAATTCCTGGCATATTTTAAAATGTCTTGTGTAATATAACACATTTTGAGAAGAAAAGCCAAACATTTCTTTTGGATTGTTTCCAGTCCTTTATTTTTGTTCGGTTTCTTTTAAATTTCAAGTGTTTTGTATGCATAGAAAAAGGACACACAAGTTTGGTCTGAACTGGAAATTGGAAAGTTTGAAACTCAGGAAATTGCTCTGACAATGTCTTAACTGCTCTCAATTTAAGAAAATGACAGAATGTGTAAAAAAGATACAAAAATAATGTTTGCTGTTTTTTTCCAAGTGCTTTTCCCAAGTGCTTTTCCATTGTGCAATGAGATAAAGTTTGATAATTTTTCCTGCAATGGTTAAATAGTGTTTATTTTTAATTACATGTAAAAGAAACAAATTTAAATGTTTGTGTGGCCAAAAAAAAAGTTAAGTTTATGTAGAATGTTTGTTAATGGTGCTTATTTTTGAAACGTAATTCAAGTTTACAGTGTTAATGCTTCTTTTGGGAATTTAATAGAAAAACAAGGCTAGACTACATGTACATCTCGAAGAGCCTTTTAGAACTTCGCATTGTATGATGAGAAATTTTATGATTTTCCATAAAGTTGAGCAATTGACTTTTATGGTCCAAGTAATGAACATGTTATTAACTCATGACTGAATTAACCATGAAACTTCTCATTAAAGTACATCATTGCAGCTATCTGTTGGAGAATATATAGTAATAAAAATTTCAGACAGTATATCAGAAATTAAATGTTTTTATTTGTTCTATAAAGAAAATGTAATTTTGCTGTTAACTCTACTTTTTTATTGAAAATGTTTTGTAACTTTGCTTTAAAAATTTCTTATGAAGCCATTTGCAAATTACATATTTAATTTAATAAAATACTTTTAGACATAGTCTGGTGTGAGGAAATCTTTTATTTGATATGGTAAGGTTAGTAGTTTAAATATTAAAAACATGTATTTATTTAAAGAAACATTTGGCCTTCGCCGGTTTGGTTCAGTGTGGACTGAAGGGTTCCAGGTTCAATTCAGGTCAAGGGCACATGCCAGAGTTCTGGGCTCCATCCCCAGTGGAGGGCATGCAGGAGGCAGCCAATCAATGATTTTCTGTATCATTGATGTTTCTATCTCCCTCTCCCTTCTGCTCTGAAATCAATAAAGATATATTGAAAAAAATTTTTTGCTTTATTTTTAAAAAATTCTTGACACTATTACAGATGTCTCCCACTCCTTCTTCCCCTCTTAGCCACTTCTGGCCAACCCATCTCCCCCTGCCAGCATGCATACCTGTGTAATCTCAAGGAAAAGGTGTCATAAAATTTTATTACTATACCACAACTTTTATTCCAGTTTAAATTATTTTGATATAGCAATAAGGGATCCACTTTTGAACCAGATAAATGGATTATCTCTTCATACCTTTGACAGATGTCAAGATTTTTTTTTTTAAAGGAATCAAGTAATAACTTTAGTTAATATTAAAGACCTTTGAACTTCCTAAATAGAATAACTCACTCATTTAGCAACTTAAAAGTATTTCTTTTTGAGTGTTTATTGAATACTTGTTACTGGGGATATAATGTGAGACAAGACAGAAAATCTGTCCCCCAGTATCTAATAATTATTTCATCAACTCTCAACTGTTGTGTTGTGGAACACTTTCACATACATTACATTTTAAGACTCAAAAAAATTTTTTTTAATATAGATGTCTTAAAAAGGCTTAGAGATGGATTTGCTAGTTAGTGGCAAGGGTAAGACTTGAACCTAATATTGAGTAATTTCCATCATAAGAGTAAGAATTTATATTTAGAGACTAGAGGCCGGGGGCATGAAATTCTTGCACTGGGTTGGGGAGTGTTCCACAGCCCAGCCTGCACCCTCTCCAATCTGGGACTCCTCTCTCAACCCAGGACTGCCAACCGCTCACCTGCCTACCTGCCTGATTGTCCCTAACTGCTTCTGCTTGCCAGCCTGATCACCCCCTAACTACTCCCCTGCCAGCCTGATTGATGCCTAACTGCTTCCCTGCTGGCCCAATTGCCCCTAACTGCCCTCCCCTGCTGGCCCGATTGCCCTTAACTGCCCTCCCCTGCCAGCCCACTCCTAACTGCCCTCCCCTGCTGGCCCAGTCGCCCCTAACTGCCCTCCCCTGCTGGCCTGATCGCCCTCAACTGCCCTCCCCTGCTGGCCATCTTGTGGTGGCCATCTTGTGTCCACATGGGGGGAGCCATCTTATGTGTTGGAGTGATGTCAATTTGCATATTCTGTCTTATAAGGATTATATAGGATAACATCCTATTATACTCAACTAAAAGATGTGGCTCCAGCCGAAACTGGTTTAGCTTGATGGATAGAGCGTCGGCTTGAGGACTGAAGGGTCCTGGGTTCGATTCCGGTCAAGGGCATGTACCTTGGTTGTGGGCATATCCCCAGTAGAGGGTGTGCAAGAGGCAGCTGATGGATGATTCTCATCGATGTTTCTAACTATCTCTCTCCCTTCCTCTCTGTACAAAATCAATAAAATATATTAAAAGATGTGGCTCCACAGTATATGTCTGAAAATCTGTCATTTACAATATATATCTGCCTTCCTTTATCCCAGGGAAACTGGTATTACAGTTTTTTCCAATGCAAAAATAAAAGTTTATTTCTCAATATAAAATTTGAGATGTATAGAGTCTAGGACTGATTAGTGTGCTCTTGTACATGAAGTTTTTTTTTTGGGGAAATCTAAGATCATTTTAGGACCTTGTAAGTTCAGCTTGTGCTGGCCTTTTAGGAAGAACAGGTGGGTCTCCAGCAGCCTCTGTGTCACTGAGGTCCAACCTGCACTGGTTTTTACAGGTAGGGACTTCTTTTCCCAGATCTGGAACCCTGGGCTGGGGCTGGGACCCCTTGCTCTTCTGGGTGGCCCCACAGAGACAATCTCCCTCCTGATTACAAAAGCAGCACATGTGGCTGCTGTTCGGGGCCTCCGCACCTCCCACCAGTCTCAGTGTGCTTGCTTCCTAACTTCTCTAGTTGTAGGAATTCCATTCAGCCAGCCTTCCAGTGGTTCTGGGTGGTGGTGGTTCTATATTTTAGTTGTAATTTTGATGTGGTTGTGGGAGGCGGGGCTTACAGGCGATTACATACACTGACATCTTAGTTCCCTCTTCAGAATGTTACAATCTTTAAATAGAATATAGCCCTGCTAGTGTGCCTCAGTGGTTGAGCATTGACCTATGAACCATGGCTGAAAAGCAACGATTGCCACAACGTGTCTCTGATGCTGAAAGAATGTGGTGGCGGTGTGGACGGGATATGTCTGAAGAACAGACATGGACGAGTATTACCAATAGTGGTGGGAACTGCCTTCCCTGCAAAAAGGGAGGAAATGAGGATGCAATTATCGCACACAGTTGTGGTGGAATGTAACACGTGTGGTGGTACATGTCAGTTTTGCCTATCCCTAAATTTCTCCAATGAAATGGAGTTGGATGTTGCTTTCTCTTGAGTTCAAAGAGAGTGTGAGGTTAAAGTTGTAAATACTTCATCCCAAGGAAAGTTAGTCAAGCACTCAAAGTGTTTTTGCTCTTAATGTGGTATACAGGGAGGAGATATTAGAATAAGTTTAATCAATATATCAGTCATTGTTTTTACCAAATTGTTGTTATATCATCTCTGTTGTTTTCATGACTTTGTTGTTATTGTTCGTTTATTTATTATTTATACTAAGGTGACCAGATGTCCTGCTTTTGGCGGGACAGTCCCAATTTGTCCCACGTCCCGCGGCGTTTTAAAAATATTACAATACTATTTTTGCATTCTATGAAAATTTTTGTTGCTCCATATAGACCAAATTTTTAATCAAGAACACCCCTTCTTCTTCCCTCCCCCCAACCCCCTGGGTCAATGGTGTCCCGCTTTACCAATGCTAAAAAAATCTGGTCACCTTAATTTATACTAATTTTTTTTCTATCTAACTTTATTGATCATTGTTAAATAAAATATTACTTTTCATTTGCTTAAAGAGAAATGAATTAAAAAATAAAAAGGTAACAAGAATTGGGAAGTAAAATCAAAAGCTGCTCTTCAAAATATATCAATGTAATAGAGAGAACACTGGCAAGACTCGCCAAGGAAAGAAGAACACATTCAGCGTTAGGCACAAAAGCATACCCACAGACATGGAAGGAGATGAAAGAACTCTTAGCAGAGCTCAGGGCTGCGTGTGCCTGTCGGGTAGATTCCAGCGATTATTAACAAAACACGGGCACACGTTGTCTTTGTGAAAACAGTCCGCAGTCTTGGTCTTCCAGCTGCAGTGCTTCAGAAGGACAATGATCAAGCTCTGGACAATGACACGAAGTTGCCCAGGACTAACAGAGTTTTGGGAAGGTTTGGACACGAGGTTGCCCAGTGAGCCTTGC